ATCAAAGATATATATTGGTTGAATACTGACATGCTATCTGTAATAAATAAAGAAGAAAAACATTTGATTCCACTAATATTATTCTTGGGTTTTTGTTTTCAACTCTACACAAACAGTCTTATTGCTATTTTCTTACTGTCTTTTACATAATATCAGCTCAACCTTACAATATAAAATTTTCCTTTAGTTTTTTTAATACAAAATTAAAAATTACATTGTTTAATTACTGTACAGTTACTTGGCTATTTTGAATGTCTGGAAATGCATTAAGTGTCTTATTTAATGCCTATGCTGAATACTGTTATATTCCTTGAATCAATGTATTATCTTAGAAGTGAAACTTTAGACCATGCTGATATACAAATACAAATACAAATCAAAGTCTGTGTTGTAACATTTTCTATCTAAATCTAAATAATGCAATATATATATATAAAGTAAAAAAGAAATCCTAGCCGCTTGAGACAACCTAGTACTGATCAATAGTAGAAATGTGGTGCTGAGCTTTGAGAACGTGTACTGAAACATGGACAGCCCAGATTTCATATGTATATATCAAATATTTATAATTGATAATGTTTATGTACTTTTTGCATATTAGAGCATACATATAAATACTTTTTCTCAGGTTAACTATGGCCAAGTGTTTAAATCTTCTTTAGTTAAAGCTTTATATATATATAGTCAAAGCTCAATATGATAATAATAGTGGAATATTCAAAATCATATCTTTGTTTATTTATTTTTGTAATCATTTTTATAGAAAAGTCTAGGTGAAGATATCTTGTTTAACAATAGTATCCAGAAGTACGTCGTAGAAAAATAGATATAATACACCAACTTTTACAGGTTTTAGCTTATAAGCTCGTATATTTCGATTTATAAAGTCATTAAGCTACAGAAAATAAGTAAAGATAATGACAAGAGCAGAATAATCTAATTAAACAGCAAACAGAAAATGTGGTTTCTTTCTGCTATGTAATTAATGAATTGTACAATATATACTTGTGTGGATATATAAGTATTTTACATACAAAAATAAGGCTTTTGCTTTGTTGTTGTTTCTTTGGGATGAAAGCTAGACAGGTGATTTGTGAACTGATTCTTTACAATATAGCAATGTGGCTATGCTTAAATAAATCTGACTATTGTGAGATTTTGTAGAAAGACTCAGGGAAACACAAGACAATTAAATAAAGTAATTCATATAATTCTGGGGCTTTACAGATGCTATAATTTTTCAAAGACGTCTTCTTTAAAAGTCTGCTTGAGAATCTTATATGTTAGCTATTTATCTGCTATCGTTGATATAAGAAAAGGCAGCATTTTTTTGCAATGTCTCTACAACTCTTTATGGCTCTCTCTCTCTCTCTCTTTCTGTATTATTCACCATTACGATGGAATTATAACTACTCGTCGAAATTGCTTGGCACGTTACTGATGCTTGATGGAAAAACAGCAGTTGTTTTTACACTTCGATTTGCAAGAAATTGCTATATCGCTTTCAAGAATTTTTCTAGAGAAACATACACATTGGTTCGATGAGGAACCTTAAAGACTATTTGCAATAATATTGAGAATCCTATAACAAATGCATATCATGTTGATATTTAGTCAGCTGTCGGTGTATAGATAATTACATTAAATGTCTGCTAAGTTTAAAACGTTTTGACCTTAGAGTTATGCGTAATTAGTATATGAACACAGAGATATAACTCCTTAACAATACCTAAAATTTATTAAAAGTATAGAGATTTATACACTTCTTTTATAAAACAATAGATACAGCAACAAATCTCATTAAATTCTTGAAATCCAACTGTGGCTTATGTATTGGTACACAGCTTTAACTACAAAAGATGTGTTTTCGTTTTTGGATTACATATGGGATAATATTAAACTCCAATTTTTCTATTTGATGTAGCAAAAAGTAATAAATTATATTCTAAAATACCTTCTTTTTATTTCATTGATTAGCGAGATGGTCATTGAGGTGCTGGCGGGTAGGAAAATTGTTCTGGCTAAATTAGTTTGACGGCTTATCTAAAATGTTTATAAGGCATAACCAAGTTGCCTCTCCCAAAAAAAAATGAATGAGACGGTCAAACTGACTTGTGAGCAACAATTGATGCTTCAGAGTCCAGTTTTCTGTTAGCACATTTACATTAAAGAATTATTCCTCCTTTGCCATCTGTGTATCATTGTGTATGTGGTATCTTGGGGACGAGACTAATAAAGTCGGCTGGTGGTGTGTGGTTATGCCGGTAATTTCGTTTAAAAGCAGTTTTAGAAAATCAGTTTCCTACAATGATAATGCCATCCATTTACACTCCTCTTTCCAGACTTAGAAAGGAAGCTATAGAGTGAATGGATACTGACTAATAACATAATTAAATATGAGAATAGTTAACCTAAAATATATAGTCAAAGTCGGAGCCGCTTTGGATGGTTGATTGACATCCACAAACAAGGAGTTAGCTAAGCGGGTGGCCGCTTTGGCATGGTTTCTTAGGGTGCAAAAGCCAAGCACAGGGCGAAGAGCAGGATCCTAGTGTTTTTTGAACTGCTATAGAACTCACCGTTTTCCTATGTTTTTTATGCTCCTTAGAATCAAAATGTATCAAACGTGGGAGTGCCTGTTCAGCTGTTGATCACCACTTACGTGAGCTGGAGTCTTTATAGGTTCGATAGTCGTAGGAAAGCAGCCATGACCAAAAAGAATACCATATCTTTTTTAGGAATCCTATAGAGATTTAGTCAAGGCATGAACAAGAAATATAAAGTAGCTAGATGCTGGTGTGATATTAACATGTGACTTAGTTTGTCGTATCAGTGTGGCCTTTCTGGAAAGCTAGGCAAATAAAGTATGCAAGCCTTCATTACGATTCAATCAACCTAAATTCACATACAGCTTCATACTTGCGGTCCTCTGTGTCTTGAGTATCCTGAGACTCTATCTGCATGAATTAGCATGAACAATTGCATTGATAAGTTCCTGCGCAGTAAGGTCGGTTAATGGGACAAAACGCTATAATATCCGTGTGATAGATAGGTGTCGTCTCCTTTTGTAGATCCGGTTGGTAGGGGTGCTCACTAGTGTACCTTCCATGAACGAAATGAGCACTTCTTGGTTCAATCCCGTTTCAACGAAATTCCACTCGAGGCCAGGATAATTTTTTTTGCTCGCCAATAGGATTGGCAGCTCCACTGTCATCCGGAGGATCAGAGGAAACCAAATCGCACTCGGCCAGATTGATACCACTATTCCAGTAGTCATATCTTATTGCCAAGGCTTGTGTAGAAATCTGGAAAGACGGTTCCATGGTAAATTAATATAACAGTTTGTTCATATGAGCTGTATGGTTGCGAATGCATCTGTGGGTATATCACAAGGATCTGAGAGCCATTAGACGTTTTCGTGTAGCAGATGCACGATACTGAGTGTTTAAGTATGCTGGGAAGAGTGCAATTGTAGCTGCTTTTATGTACATTGTTAGGTTGTGGATCAATCTTAGTGTATGTGACAAGCTACTAATCAATGGACGGATGGAACGACGCAAATTTATCAGTTCGGCACCCAGGATCTTAATTATTATGGTCTTGGTATCCAGGGCATATCCTAAGTGTTTCAACCCTTGGGAAGGTATAAAGGATAACTTTCTTTGGTTGACGATACAACTATGGGGCTCGAGTTTCTCGTAGAGAATATTGATGTGTGTTTGCAATTCTTTGGTCGAGTCCCATGATATTCCAATCGCCCAAATAGGCGCTGACTCAAATTTCTTGTCGTCTTGGCAGTTCAAACACTGGTCTTGTCACCTTGGTGAAATACCATGGCATTACCAACAGGCCGAAAGAAGCCGTTCATAACTACTAAGTGGTGCCATCTAATTTGCAATTGAGGTATTTTCGGGGCGCTTTGTGGACGAATGTATGTAGCAAACCACCCAACAGGTTGAGGGATGTCAAAAAGGCATATGGGCGGATCAGACGACAAACCTCTTGTATAGTCTCCATCTTCAAGTGAGGCGCAGACATATATCTGTTCAGCTTCTTTAGATTGAACACCGTCCAGTACCCTTCCTTGAATTTGGGGACCAGAAACAGAGGGCTGGTGTACCCTAAGGAATCCGGAGGGGTTCCTTCTATCGCATGTTTGTGGATGAGATCTGCAACATCCTCCCAGAAAAGGTGGCATTGTTTATCCGCGCGATGTTTTTTTTTGGTAGCCCATTATATTATAACAGAGACTGTCTGTTGAAGTAAAGCAAAATCCTTCTTCGATTACACCATTCAACAAAACGTTGTTTTTAAGACACCCAATCCTCTGGCAAACTTACTGAGGCACCCACCCGCTGTGAGCTCTTTTACTGGATGTTAATATTACTGTATGAAAGCTTGTGGCTAATTTTGTTGTTGTGATTAATTTGGTTGTGTTGATCTTGCTCATATTTTCTTCAATTTTTGCTGGAGGGATACCATCCTTCTTATTGTGATGGACAGGATTAAAAAAAATGAAGTATTGAAGGTTTTTTTTAAGGATGCTTTGAATGATGGACGGGACCTTCTTGCGTACGGATCCCTGTGTAGCCATTTGATCTGACAATAATCTTTTAAATTCCTTTGGTTCCATAATATATCCTTTGGAACTGACTCTTTATATAGATTGGAATTTGGGATCGATAGACTAAAACCTCAAGTTTTTGTTTTGGACGCTTCCACATCCACAAACTATGTGAGAGCACCCGGGGTCAAGCCAATAGTTTCTATCTGTAGCTCAAAAGGTGTCTAACAATAAGCTTCTCGAATGGAAAGCGTGTGTAATATATTAGGTTTGACAGATTCCTCAGGATCTAATAAATTGCTCAATTTCAATTGCATGTCTTGAACTCCCTTGGTGAGAAAAAGCGAAAAAAAAGTAATTCTATCAGAGGGATATTGAGATTGAGACATAGTGATATAGTGATAAGAGGATAAAAGGATACGGAAAAGTAATAGGGACTTTGGACACATCATATAAAATATTTTTGAAACATTTAACCATATATGTAACTTTATACGGTCTCATGTTTCACATCCAAGGCTTCCATATACAATGAAAATGTGTGATATTGTATTTATTGGCCATGTTAATTCCCTAAACTCACGAACTTAAAATCATGTAATTAGTGCGAACCAAAGTTTGTTACTTTTTACCCTCAAACTGTAATAGCTGTTTAATTTTTTAGACATTAAAGCTAATAGATACTAATTAATATTTGTATACGTAGAATGCTTGCGCAAATAAGGGGGAAAAAACCTAATGCTGGGGTTATATGGACTTCTTTATATGCTTACTTGAAAACATAATTTGTTCTTTATTTCAAGTTTTATGTAATCGTTAGTTTAACAGCATAAAATATCGAAAGATGATTGGTCAACACATTTTATATCATGTTTTTATATCATGTAAAATAACGCGATTTTGAAACACACTATTCCTTTTTAAGAGCACAATCTCCGTCTAAATAAATTTTATATGATGTGTCCAAGGTCCCTAATGAGTGGTAATTATTAGCTCAATAAACAATGAAACAACAAAAAAAATTAGGATTATGATTTTATTACTTTACATCTTTACTACGTTAAATAGAATGATGCTCACAGCGTATGTTCCTTCACATTTGGGTTTCTAGTCTATCTATGGAATCTTGCTTCTGTTTCTGAATAAAAAAGATATCTATCTTCTTTTTCAAAATAAAGTAGTATTTAACAAATTTGAAACGAAATATCAAGTCACCATATTGAAGATCTCTTTTCCAAAATCTTTAAAGTATATGACCGTATTTGGATTGCCTCATGTATCTTCGTTCATGATCTCTGTAGTATCTTTTGGTAAATTCAATGTTACTTCTTTCAAGCTCCCATGTCAAAAATCTGGTTTTTCTGTTTGTCCTGCTCCAGCACACATGATACCAGTTTGAGTGAGGTGACTCTTCTTGATTACTTTCGTCCAATAGAGTGATATCGACATTCTCCAGTTGCTCAAGAACAATATACTTAGCACCATTACCAGGATGTGAAATGTAATAGTCAAAATAAATGATTTTATTATATGTTCTCGGCATTTTATCTGTAAAAAAGGTATGTACACAAATAGTTGTCCAGTTTCTTCAGAGTCAGAATGATACAATTCGCTGCTTTCCAATCTCAAATATGCTAGCTGTCTACAATAGAAAGATATGTAGTTAAAAGTTTGTGCACCAACTTCTGTACGTAATATAGGCATGTAGGCGATACGCAAAACATTCACTGATTCAGAAAAATGTTTGGTCCACCTGTGCATATTATTCTCTTCTAGCGCTTTACCATCTAAACCAATTTCAACATCATTTGAAGTTAACTCTGATACGGCTGCTCATCATTGCAAGAAGTTTTAGTTTGACTTTAACGCTGCTGCTCGTCATCACAAGATGTTTGATTGTCCTTAAACTGGTTGTAGAATATTATTAAACTAATAGTAGTTAGATTTGGGTACTTGAGCGCAAAGTAATATACCCACTATGAGTCAAGACAATCGAAAGTGAAATCAACCTTTGTAATTTTGTCTACTATCTCAAATTTTCTTATTATTCCCATTTCTTTTTCGAGTATTTGGTTTAAATAAAGCATCAATATTAATATTCTAGATGTGGCAAGTAACGGTGAAGTGATTCAATCTCGGTTAGATATATTCTGGCGTTATCGTCACCATGACCAAACCTGAAAATCGTGAGGTGAACAAGACAAGTCAATGCTGACAGTTTTTCGACCTTAATCTCCAGTCCAGGTTCTCCACAATTAAAGTCTCAGTTTGACTGAAGGTGCAAGCATTCTTTTGTGGTTTTCTGACGTATACTCTGTTTTCGGCTTGGTCTTGTGGCTTTACACCCGGTTTCTTCTCTTTGACGTTGATCACATAGTGAAGCCCGATGATGTTGGTCCGTCTCCATCTTGTGGAATAATCATTCCCAATGTTGTCTAGTTCATCATTTGTAAATATTGCATATATTCTAGCCAACCTTCCACTGAATATTAAACGAAACAGAAAGGCCAAAACCACTGTAGGACGGATATAATCATTACTTGATTTTCAACCAATAAACCCCAAAGGTATTGAATGACCTAACAAAAAAAAAAGAAAAAGAAAATTAAAAAACTGGGGGTACTCAGCCAGATTGATCGATCAAATTCTTGTGTGAATATTGGCCAATGGTATCAATTTGTAGTTGAGGACACCAAAAGACAAAAGTACAAAATTCGTACAAAATTCATAGATTTTTATAGCATTTATAGAATAATCTTTGCACATTCTGATTTCTTCTTTGAACCTGTAGGCATCTAGACTCTCGAAGAAATCAAGTGCTCTTTCCCTTTACTCAACATCTGGCAATACATTGTCAACCCTGTGCATGTATTTATTGGCTTTAAGTGTTTGTTTAAGCTCCTTCGCGGCAGTCATCTGCTCCAACTTTATATTAACTTCCTTTTTGATTACTTCTAAAATATCTTTAATAAGTTCGTCTGCACTTGCTGATAAAGACTCTACCAGTGTTTTTTTTTTCACGATAAATTCCCTGATTTTATGCGATTTCTTCAAGGCATCAATTGCTTGTTGCTTTGTACTATATTTTGGCATGTAAGATGGAGAGAAAGGAGTATTATATAACTGTTGGCAATAAATTCTATGATTTATTAAGGAGAAAGATAAAAACAGTATCGTATTGCATATAAAAAGTAAGGATTAGGTTAATCAGAGAGCCGTACGTTTTTCGATCAAATTTTTATCGTCGCTATTACAATTGTAGTCCAATAATATGGCGTTCTGAATTCAAAATTTGATCGGTCAATCTGGCTGAGTACCCCCACTGAAGCTACAATTGAATTCATTTTTTCACAGTTTCACTGTAATTATAGCTTATTTTCATTTATTTTATTATAAAAAAAAAGTTATCAGAAAACAGCTCCTTCCATGTCATGCCCTGGAATAGAGACAGACGAGATCATCAACTGCTAAAAGTAAATTCCGAAGAAAAAACAATCAACACACTTCACTCTTTAGAAAGTCTGCTAGTATTCATCTACTAACTTGAATATTGTGTCTAGTTTGAAAAACGTAGAACGGTTATGTACTGCATACAGATCCTGTAGAGTACGGTCACTAAAGAAAAAATAGATTTCCAGTTTAGAGGGGGTTTATATAGTTTTTCGAAAAAATATTTTGCCTGACCCTGAAAAAACTATAGCCAATAATAATAACTAAATATTTAAATTCCGTATTCAAACCGTGACTCTTGCTTTTCGAGGTCCTGTGGAGTTACAAAAGAATCTATTGCCATTAGGGAGAGAGAGGGAGGTTTTTTTTTATCTTAAAATTATTTGCTCAGATTGTATAAATCGATTTGACTGGATTATTTTCACTCACGTTTACTTGAAACACACTGTTAATAATAAGAATATGCCTTGTGCTTATAAAAACACATACTTAAATACACTATTATGCATAGATAATATAAGGCTGGGAAAATGTAATTGAAGAGCTCTAAAAACTAGCAGGCTAAATCCATTGACATAGAACCATCATTATCGTGCTATATTAAGGTCACATTTGAGGTGTGCGCGGTTAGCAAACGTCGTGTCCCTAATAATAGTAGTTTATCAAAGTTTATCGTTTCAAATTCTTCACTGAGCCAAACAGTATCAATAAAGTTGTTTTTTTTTTAAGAAAAAATAAAAAACCACCTTGACAACGGTATATAATAATAAGAAAAAACAGAAGACAGGTATCTCAACTAGATTTTGAACCATTTTCTTTGTAATATGTAAGATGAGGCTTAAAGATGTACAGCGTTTTATGCCAAAAGTGGTATATATAGTTTCATTGCTGTCAATTAGATAAGAATATTGGCGCTGTTATGGTTTCTCTCTCTCTATTTATTATTACTATATCATAATATCAAGATTACATCCCAATATTCTCCCGTTAATTGCAACTCATTTCGACAAAATGAATCATCTTACTTGTGTATAAGTCTGTAAACAATGATCATACCAATTTTTTAAACGTTTATTGGAATAAAGTTGCTATTGAATACACCGATATAAAGACTACAGTCAACAAATTCGGGTTTGAAGAGATCATATCGTAAAGTAGGCATATCGAATTTGGACTTTTGATATTGAATATATCCAGATGGGTGGATCAGCAAAGAAGGTTTTTTTTAGCCAGAATGACTTTGGATCGAGTATATCATAAAGGTAGGTAAGACTACCCACATCTTTTACAAGAACAAATTTTCTGATGTTTAAAAAGGCATTTATCGGATGGATGGTAGTAGCCCCTGAAGTAGATTCATGATCCATAATCAGGTTTTTTGTCAATACTGGAAGCAGTAAAGGTATCCAAAGGTTTATTATTTTAATGTGGTTGTATGGCCTAGGAACGGACTAGTAGATTATTAGCTTGCTATAGTGTGAGCGTATTGTCCTATGAGTGAAATTCATCTGGAGGTATTTTCATTCTCAAGCTGTCAAGCATCGATTTTTTTTATTCAATGTACAAATTTTTGAAAAATCAGTGATGTCTTTTAGAATCCACTGTATTTGTAACATCTTTTTATTATAATAATTAATTAAAATACTGGATAAAGGTACAGAAGATATTGTACTTGTTTTTACTGAAGTTTGACACATGGTGGACTGGTTATGTGGTGCAAATGTCCAACTCGGTGACAAGAAAATGAATACGGGTAAAAAGACAATTTTATTAGAGAAAATAAAAAGAGCTATTTGACTACTTCAGGCTATTTCTACAGCTACGTCACTACTTCAAAGTTCACTGCGACGAGCGATACAAGAAACACCGGTGTATAAGATCCACCGTGTCACTTCAATGAGAAAAGATATTGTACTACTTGTACCGGCTGATATTCTTCTGGCAAATGCTTAAGGTGTACTGAGGAAGGAAATGAATAAATCCTTGTTCTGCGTCGGTGATACATCGATTGATAGATTACATCGGAAATCTTAAATTAATTTATTGCCAAATTTACACTTCCTCTCGATCGCTTCTAACTTTGTCCACTTTCCAATCTCAAATTTGAGGGTGTCATTGGTGAATCTTCTAACTTTTGGCTCGAAAGCTATTATCAAAATCTCGCTCAAAGCTTACGAGGAACTAATTCTGGGAGGTTATCTCCTTTGTAATGTCTTTATCTTTTGCTGTGTCTGATATCTTAGATATAATAAACTCGGGGATTTGCTCGAATAGAGAGTTCATTGGCATTAATTTAATCTTCAGTGTGTGTCTTGGAAAGATATGAGGGACAAGGGGAATGATACCGTTATAAATTTGTAATAGATAATGGATTAATTTAGCAAAGAGTTTATACATATATTGGGCCCACATTTTAGCTACTCAAAAAGTTATGTAATAAATAAAAGGTAACAAATATTGCTATTAAATACTGATAGATAGCTGTGTATTTCTGATTGTAAAGCTGGCTCTTAGAAAACATATTTATTGTGATATATATATATATATTGTAAATTTTCAGGCTTTGTTCTCCTCTGTTATTTTTGCTCATTTGTATGTACTTATTTCCTATCTCTAACCATCACTACAGGGGTCATTAGAATTCATGGAACTTTGAGATATACTGCACGTTGAATCTGATAATAGTAGTGATAATATGTTACTCAACTTATTAGAATATGAGCCTAGTAATAAGACATTTGGAACACTTACAAGTTCTCTACAGCTATTGATGTGCATAACCGCTGGATTTGTCTCAACAGTGTTAAGTAAGAAGTCCATACTCATTTGATCAAAACAAATAAGTTCGAGCATTTCAGCAAAGAAGTCTTCGATACATTCTAGAGTCAACAAAGGAGTCTGTATCCCACTAAGATTTGATTGACTGGTAGTGGCAAGTACATTAGCTGTATTCGGATTGGTAGCATTGGGGGATTTTGGTGCCACCTTATTTTTAGCGTTTTCTCTCCACAATACAATATGATTATAGAGATCTTCTTCAAGAGCATGTGAAAGGACACGCCTCAGGCGGAGAACCCTTATTGTAGTACCTGGACCCAGATCTAACCACTCTTTATTCTTGACAAGAGTTGATAAATTCTTCCTTATAAATTCTTGGCATAAGAAATCAGTATCCTTAGAATCATAGTCCACTAAGAAATTAAGAAGGAAAAAAGAGAGAAAGACATTCTCAATCATAAATTGTTATTGGTATAAGCAACATTACAAAAAATTACCTGTCAGTTCCCAGATAGACCATACATTGGTAATGTTAATATTCAATTTCAAGTAATCAAACATAGTATTACAAAGAGAACGTAGTTCAATGCGATCTGCAGCTTTGATAGTCTCTAAGGCTTCATCAACATCTTGTACTTTGTACGAAGAAGAATATATATAACTGAGAATCTTTGAGAAGATTCTCGGGTGTATACCACGTATGATCACTCTTTTACTATTTGAATCACCCATACCGCTTGTAAAAAGAGTCTTGAACCATGGAGATGCTGCCGATAAAATAACTGTGGCATTTAAAATCTCGACATTCAAGTTCTTCTACGCTTAGGTTTAGTATTTTATAGATATGTTACATATAATTCAATCACCTGCATTTGCATTATCTTCGCTCTCCTTATTAATAACATTGACTGTCACATCAAAGAACTCTGAAGAATTGACATATGTGGGTAGGGCTATGAGAGAGGTAGGTCGTAACGGCAGCCCAGTTGTATCTTCAAAGCCAACAAGTATCCTTATAACTGGCTCGAGGTGAAATGAGATAGGTGCTTTAGAAGAAAAGCGCCACAAATAATAAACTATTAAATAATAGTTAATATATTATGTTAATAAGGTCCGTATTTTTCTTAAAAAAAATGCTATTTTATCTCACCATTGCCATCAGAATTCCCTTTAATATATATATATATAATTGATCAGGATGTTTGCCATAATTATATATATATTTATATTTACTTTTCTCTTCTTTACGTTTTTATATATTACCTTTCTCTGAAACGTTTGACATTTTTTCCTCCTCCTGATTTATTCGGAATATGCAGGTAGCCTTTATATGGTCTGGGACCATGCGATCTTCATTTCTCATCTTCATTTTTTGCAAAGTAATTCTCATCGTATGACCCTAAACCGACATTAATTTTATGTTACGCTTGTGCATTAAACAATAATACTACTTTTACAACACTTACTTGACTCGTATATGTATACCATTTAATCTATATGTTGTATATATTTAATTATTGGAAAATAACTCTAAGCCAAAAGTCCATTTTGTGTACGGTATATACTAACACGAATTGTACTAATAAAGACGTCAGTAGGAAGAAAATATAAAGTTAAGCGTTAATAAAAAGTATATCCAATAAATTACTTTATGATAGATTAAAGCGTAGTACTATTTATATTCTTACCATCTGTAGCCATTAAAAACATTATGTTTTACAGCTGTTGAGACACTGGGGGCTCTGTAACCGAAACGAGGAAGTCTTAAATCCAATTGATAATGGGAAATATCTACCAATCTTTTAAAGTTCATTCAAATTAGTGCGGGAATAATTGTGTTTATTTATATATAATACTTACTCTGCATTCATGTTGTAAAAAGGAAAAAAGAAGAAAAGAGAGCTGTACTTCTTTATAAGGCTGTCTGAATGGTTCATTAAATACTCTCAAATTATATAGCATTTATCAATGATAGATAAATTGTTTCGATTACTAATACATATAAATAACTAGCTCTTGGAAGGTCGAACTCATTATTTAGTATATAGTATACAAGTAATAAATAAGTGCAAACTAGTATTCTGTAGTTTAATCAAGCATTATATTATGCGTAAAACAGGTTGTTAGCACAAAACAGAAGTGTATAAAGAACAGTATACATCCTATAGTAATACTTTAAGTAGAATATAGAAACAAGAGTCGATAGTCACTATTAGCATGCGTTTATCAAATACATAGACTTCTTTCTGTAGTCTACCTTTTATAGACTGTCTATAACACAATAAGTCTGAATATCTTATGACAAAATAACTGTTAAAAAAGTTAAAAAAGAAAGGCTATAACCCTAAAGTATACAATGAAATGTACAAGAATATCTTAAGAATAACAGCTATTAAAACTTATCACTCTGCCGTATTATTAAAGCAGGTATCAAGTAACTTTTCCTTTGATAATACAAGAAGTTATATGTATTGATCAAATAAACCAGGATCATTTCCCCAGAAGCACACCTCTTTTTTCTTTTTTCAGAATCTTTTCTTACAGCTCAGTTACTTATGTTTTAAGAAAACGAATAAAAGCATGATGCTTATGAACATGACACCATGTTTATATTCTAAGAAGATGGTCTTAGCTGTCATACTTTGTCTCTACATAACATGTTGGAACACCCATTGAGAAATAAAATGGTTTCATTAGTAGCCATCTCAAGGTCCGTATCTGAGCTCAATCAAATATCTTTTCCAAGCTCTAAGAGTAAATTCTTAGTATTCCAAGGCCTATGTTTTTCAGGTGAGATATGCCTAACCCAAAAGTTCTCCATACTTTTGTAAGCAAATATACCCGATGAAATTAAAGCAGTAATCAAAATCCGTAGAGATCTCACACTATATTTGGTTATTTTTCTTGTTAATTTATTAAATAAATACTGTCATCTATTATAGAACAAAGCTTCACGTTATTCAGTTGAGCTTTTTAGAAGATATCGCATCAAGAAGCCGACTTTTAGTTTATTCTGAACTAGAAATTAAGAAAACATAGTGATCTCTTTCGTGAAAGTGTATATGATATTAGTTTAAAAAAATAATATGGTAGCAGCAATAAGCCCTATGATATTTACCTCCCAAAACAAAGAATAATAAATAAGATAGGATTAGACTTCATTATACAAGTTATATGGATCTCAAGTATACACTGGCTACTATGCTAATACCATGAGTGTATAGTCAATAAGTGGTTGTTTATTAAGTATAAAAGAGAACATGAATGAAATTGAACTGAAAATGAAAAATGGAAATGAATATGGAGATAAAAGTGAAAGTTGAAATAAAAAGACACTAAAGAGCATAAATAAAAAAGCTGTACAAAGGAAAGGATATATATGAACATAAGTAAGAGAGCATAGGCTATCATAGGTCATTAACATCTGCGTTGGTCGGTATGTCTTTGAAGGTTGTGTTTGGTAGAGTATGTGTTTGGGCATTTAGGGCAGCAAAACAAAATCTTGACGTCCGAGTGGGTTTCCAAATGTCTAGCAAAATTAAATTTCTTATCCGTTTCATACGGACACACAGTGCATCTGTACATATTTGTAGAGCTTGGACTCGAAGTTTTGATGTTTTGCCGCGATGGATTATGAGGATCATAATGTATAATAACAATATCAGTTGGATCGTATTGTACGTGTTGCTGGGGTGTTTCAGGCTGATGATCATAATCTTGAAAAAGACCATACTCATTAGATGATTATTCAAAAAATAATTCACTATGTAACCCATTACGTACCACTTTCATAGTGGCCTTGAGAAGATCCTGGGGAAGTTGGACCAAGCGGTGGCAACGATGAAGAACCCTGAAAATACGTCTCTATATTATCACCGAAGATGGGAACAGCTAAAGGTTTTCTTAGTTAGCATTACTTGAATATGTATCCAAGCCTAGAGTTAAAACCTCTCTAAATTTTAATTTGTGTGTGTTTAAGAACAAGGCAATACCTAATATTTCTAGTATATCATTCTTCCATTGCTCCCTAGATAGGACATAGGAGCTGTTTTGCTGTGTACGGGACTCATATTTTTGGAAAGGGTATGTTGGCTGGCGTGTGCTGTCTCCATCAAGATACCCTATACAAAGATTTGAGTGTGTATTCCATCAAGGCGCAAGTAATTTATTCTTAATAAAAATTACCGTAATCAAGCCACTCTTGGTTTGAAACACTAAGGGTCTACAACAAAGAAATGTTTTAAGCAGCTGGCTATATCCACCACATTTGATTTTTTTCTTTTTTCCGAGAAACCGGGTCGTGTCACTTACGGATAAAGGCTGTACACAATAGTACTGACCGGTGGGTAGGTGAGAAGGTGAAAACATCAGAAAAGCGGTAAAGAAGTGGTGGAAAAAAAGTAATATTGGGATTGCTAAGAGAGAATAAGGATGATTTTTTTCGAATTTAACATCCTTTTTATACTTGTAAAACTGTTTATATCAAAGGTTACATAGTAAAGACCAATGTCCAAGAAGTGTTTGCTAAAGTAACACAAAGATTCTGGGATTCATTTTAAGTATCTTAACTGATCCTTGATTGGCTGCTCAAAAAAGAAAAAAAAAAGAAAAAAATGAACGCCTTTTTTAATTCTTCGTCAAATATTAAATATATAACCAACTCTCTTTAATTCTAACTACTTGGATTTTATACTTCTTTAATTACACTTCTTGAGATACATACACATGTTTTCTTTATTTTATTTTTAAAAAAACCCCGAAACCTTATTAAAACATAGGTTCTTTACTTTATTCTGTAGTACTAGAATATACAGCTACTATGGGATTGACTATGGGAATAAAATTGCATTCAATATGTTGATAGCCAAAGTTAACGGTACAAGTAAATATTATATATAAGAAATGTATTTTTTTCTATAGAGCCCTATGAGTACTCAGCATGACACATTATAACAGCTAGTGCTAGTATAAGTAAAACGATTGTTGGTTCAAATACAGTGCTGTGTATTGTTAATCCTCACAAGGACTTGCATTATTTAAGCTATAGTCTTCTTTACTGTAGTTAAAGACAATACACAAACATTCAAACAAATAAAATCCACTTTGAACAGCTTGGAATTCAAGACAGTACGATATGTATATCATTATAGCAAGCTTAATATTGTTTAAAATGTAATCCCATTATTTAACTTGCAGTGGGAAAGTTGAGACCAGCAAACTTTTTCATATGAAATTAACTTTATTAAATATTGAAATTGCTAGGTGTTGTATTAAAATCACATCGATAGACAGTGAAGTATCTACTTGTTCAAAGCACAGTGTATTACACAAAAGTAGCATAACATGGTCTGTGCGCTATAATACTACCAATTCTACATAAACGTAAGCTCAAGTTTGAGGGTGCATCTTTATTTTCTCAAGCTGAGACGGTGGGCGTGATGGTTGGTGGCCGCCACATTGCGGAGAAAGTGATAAGTGGCGAGAGGAGACTGAAGTGGATGTAGAGTAGGAAGAACGAAATTGGCAGAGGAGGCCATTATCAGAGGAAGTTTAGTGAAGGATAATAAAGGAACCTTTTTATCTCGTTAAAAACACTTTCCCATTTTTATTTCATTTTGACAACTGATTCCATCCCCATACGCCTAGTCATAAATATTATTTGACGCCCCTAATTAAATACTGAGTGTATTTCTATTGTCTTGAGAACTTTTCCTCTTAACAGTAGTTTATTGACCCTCGTTACCACGCCTCCAATTGATAATATAACCCTTGCTAGCTAGTAATCCGGTCATAAAAACTATTCAACTAGAGCGTCCTTCCTCATAGTAGACTTGTAATTAGTTATACCTGCTCCCTCAAGTACCCTACGTGTCAAAGCGTCACAAAAAAAAACGAAAGTAGTGCGTCTATAAGAAGACTGGGGCACAAACCTTTACAGTATTATATATACATTAATGAGTCATATCTCCTCCAGCCAAATTGGGCCTGAAATATCTCCTCTTGTATTATCGTAAAAGCCTAGACACAGTATAAAAAAAAGACGAATTGAACCTAAAATTCCTCCTCCATTTCACAAAAGCCCAGATAAAGTATCAAGACAAGATGGCTTGACATTCAATACAAAACACAAACATATTTTAAATAGTCACAAAACTCAAAAGGAGCTATTCATAGTCTTGTCTGTTGAATGATACAAAAGTCTTTTCAAAATATCTGTAAATTGTTGCTCTTCATAGTCCATAGATATGTGTTCTAGTGTGCGTCTGTGTGCGTCTGTGTGTGTTCATTAAGAAAATGGCTTTGGAAAAGAAGCTTAGCTCAAGACACTGCACTGAATTGTTCTCTAGACATTCCTTGAACAAAAACAAAAAGTAGGGTGAGAAAAATTGAGCATCTAAATTAAGTCAGAGGAGCTCATTTATGATAAACTTGACTCATCCGTAGGTTATATAGTATAATTTACTCACTATATTTTAAATTTCATAAACACCATAAAAGCCATAAACGCCATATATAGCTTATAGGAAAAGTTTACTTGACAATGTACACAAACATAAAACCAATTTGTTGCAGTCAAGCGTATGTGTAGCATTGGATAATTATCAATCAGTCTTTACTTCTTTAATGTCCCATTTATTGAAGGCTCCTTCCTTTTTTTTTTCCAAAAAAAAAAAGAAAGAATACATATTATTATTAACGAATAAAGAGTGGTTTCTTTGGTTCCTTGAAGATATGTAAAGAAAAACACATACACACTTTGTCTCTATATCTTGACTGAGAAAGTTATCCAAATAATATGAATGATTTTATAGACCAATTAAGAGAGTAAGATCCGAGGTCTTCTTTACTTGAAATTGGGTTTATAAGATTGTACGTGTAGCCTTTTGTACAGTCGTTTAAGAATAAAATTATATAAAAATATATTGCCAGTAAAAGCAAGGATATGTTTTCTTCCTTTCTTTTAAAAGAAGAAGAAATAGTAGCAGTTCTCGACTAAGTATAATATGTCTTGGCATATTATTTATATATATATATGATATAGGATATAGAGTACATTACAAGTTTGATTATCAAATTGATACTTGTACATTAGTCTGCGTATAATGAGATCGAATATCATATATAGTAGTATGTCTTTTCAATACCTGTAAGCAACAACAAAAATATGAATTGGGTCTACTTGAGAGGATATATGGCTATGGTTGAAGGATATTTTTATGTTTTATTTTACCAGTCGTAAACTCTTAGTTCTTGTGTGTATCTGATTTATCGGAACGTATGGATATATAGTAATATAAAAGCTAATTAACCAACAAGAATCTTACTGAATCACTACACAATAAGAGTCTTTACATCAATACACTAGTGCATATCCACATATATCTGTTAGAAGTATAATTGCAGTTGGAAGAGTAATATACATTTTCTACCAATATATACTGTGGGTGTATACTACTGTTAGAAATGCTGATTTTCTTGTTCTCCATGACAGCATACAAGCCAACAAGACCGTCGTTTCCGAATAAATAAGTGGAGTAAAAATGCATGACACAACACAGGATATCACCTTTACGTTTACTAATGGATAGTGAGCTCCTCTTAGATAAAATATATTGCACATACAATATTAAACGCCTCGACCAAAAGTACGATATTTTAAGGATGAAGTCAGTATTAGGCAATATGACCCAAACCGCTTATCAGTACAAAACACTAGCTGTTTGATCCCAAAGCATTAATATAGACCTCCCTATATAAAGTGTCCATGTACAAGTGACTCTAGAAACAGCCTTCTGAAGGCATAGGTAAAGACACTCCAATAACATTGTTAGCTTTTTATACCACTCTTAAACCTCAAAGGCAGACCAGTGGCCTTCTTCTTATATATACGTATATACTCTATACCCCATAGCTATGTCTTTGTGCACCTATTTCTTGTATATTTTTCTCTTATTAATTTATGCCCTGCTAAAGCTTTTGATATACATGAGACTTTTTCACCTTTTCCTATTTTTAATAAGCAAGTAACAGCGATTTTTACACTTTCAATATTGACATCATACATAACATACACTATGACTAAAGATACTAGCAAGTAACCGAGGAGGCATTTTAGTGCCTATCTCCGCCAACCATTCTTCACGTACTCTTAGATTGTTATTCATTCTTATTCTTAATCTCTTGGATCAAATTTAACATCCTTGCAATCATGCCCAAAACACAAGATGCCAAATCTGCTCACACATTCAAGGACCTTTCAAATCTTGAGAAAGGAATGATTATTGGTCAACACCTTTGGAATCAGTACCGTTTCCATTTCCGCTCAACAGAATGTATCTCGATATGCAGTCAACAGAGTCTTAAAAGAATACAAGGCAAATAAATTGGCTAAGAAAACCAAGTCTTCTACAAATAAAAAAAAAAGCTAATCAAACGCAATCCAGTAAAAGCCCAACCTCGAGCTTCGCATCCAAAAAAAAAGCCAGCCGACCTTTGGTAAAAAGTAAAAAGCCAATTATAGCAGAACCAGAGGAGATTGTAGCAAGATCAAAGAAAACTGATTATAAAAACACTATTGGGAGACACTTGGACCATATAAACATGCGTTATTCTGTTGTTCAAGGAAAGCCTTTTATCGACCCAAAATACATTGCCCGTCACCTCAAATTGCTGAAAAATCTGAAGAACTATGAGCTTTGGTGTAAAAGTGTTGTCTGGGCTGATGAATGCAGATGTCACATTTACCAAAGAAATGGAAAAAACCATATCTGTCTTGAATCCGATGTATACTATTCTGTATTCCCAACTTTAGATCCAAGCCAGATTATAGCTACCGTTGTGGTTTGGGGATGTATCTGGCCTGGAGGTATGGGACCACTATTTACGCTCAAGGACAACATGACTCCCGAGGAGCGGTCGGATTTCTTATTAGAAAAGTTCTTGGAGTTCTATGAGACTCTTCCTGGTGTTTGCAGAGGTGGCTGCCCATACATACGAGATAAGGCTGCACTACCCGAGGATGAACCCACCAACAAGAAAAAAGGGGTTGGATTTGAGATTTTGGAATGGCCAGAAAATGGTCCTGCTTTTACTCCACTCGAGTACTTATGGAACTACATGTCCGATAACCTTCTATTAATGACTGCTAGTCCTAATACCCCAGAGGAGCTAGAAAAAACCTTACACGAAGAATGGAACAATATTGATGCAGGCATTTGTAAGAAATTTTACGGGAAGACGAAAAGGAAGCTGGCTACTATTAGAGCTGATAAGACTTCACGCTTTCGATAATAGCAGTAGAATATACTATAATGCTGTCCCTATAGAGTCTATCTCCTGTAAAGTGGTTTGTATGTGTGTGTGTAAGTTAAAGGTTTATAAAAAATGGAATGTATTTGGCAAAGGTTCGAGAATATAAAACTGACTTGTATATTGAATGTCAATCCATGCTATATTAAAACGTTATATTAGATATCTAGCTCTAAAAGATACATTTTTCAACAAAACAAAAATGACCGAATTCACAGATTTATCCTTTGTAGGACATCTATACACATTTATAGAAAATTGTTTCATGAAAAGAATAATGATAAAAACAAAATCCATTAAAGAACATATCAATAGTAATAGTAAGAGCATTGCTTCTGGAAATAATACTCTCTTTTGTGGCACAATGTTGGATCAATTTTCATTCTAAATCAACAATAATACAAATATTTCTATCTTGTTCAGTCAATTAAAGTCAATTGTACAATGATCATCGAAGACTCATAGAGCATTACCGATCAAGACTTATGTTGCTGGACTCGGGTCTTAATCAAAAGGAACTTATACAGTCAAAGCTTGATATAGTGATAGTGATAAAAATTCTCTACACCATCAATATCAGTATATCGAGCTGACTGTAGCAACTTCAGACAAGAAATTATTCATGTAATCTGTAATGTGCCTCAACTTTTAAATACTGATTCGGGATTGGATTAACTCTATTATGATCAATAAAGCTGTTGATTGGTAGTGACAACAACAACGACAACAAAAAAAGAAAAAGAGAATATAGGTTTTTTTTAACGAAAAAAAAAACACCAAAACAATTGTTTCTTTTAAGAAAATTGAACTTCTTCTTTTTCATTATCCAATATGACGCAAAAGTAAGATTCTGTTGCCTTTCTCCTAATCTCTTTATAATAAAAGAAAAAACAGTGTTATATTAATATAAAGATAAATATAATTAGAGGATTCATTGAAAAAAGACAGTGTGCAGCCGTTTTTACAGTGAAGAGATTGGAAGAGGTGTTTCCAAATGATAGCACAACAGGGAGCATATATTTTCTTAGAGGATACAGATGGTAATACAATATTATTCCTGAGTATATATGTGATTTACGTCTAATAATCAAAATCATACTTTATATAGCGTTATTTCTGTGAGTGTATATTACATTATTATTATTACTTGAAAAAAAAAAGTCAAGGCGTAATACGGCAGGACACGACTAGACTAGTATGCAAATTTGAGCCTTAGTATTTAAGTCTGTGATCCATATAGCTTAAGAGAGTGCTTGAGCTGGAGAAGCCAGAGGAAAGCAAGAAGGTAAGGATACCCTAGCTCGTAATATTTGACTTGAATAAGACTCTAAACAAGTTATACCAGGCTATCTCAATCAAAGTTACCCTGCAGAAAATTAGTGGCAGTGAAAAAAAACTGCGTCTCCCAAATGCAATAAAGGCGAACCTTAAACTTGAGACCACTATAAACTACACTAAAGAAAATTTAAACAGAATGTGGAGAACAAAGTACACAGAGTGTAAGCTGCAATAATAAGCCAAGCTTTTTTCCAGAGTATATCAACCTGACTGATGTACATGTATAGTGTGTAGGAACAATGGTCAAAGTAAGATTATCTTTTGCTGTTTCAATTTAAACCTTTGTTGTTATTAATGGTCGATGAGAAATGGTCTATGTATATTAACTAGTGCGTTTTAGACATTTATGTGTGGGAGTGGGTTGACTTGTGTAAACTAGCTTATCCTTTGGAGTACAGTATTGGTCCTGAAATCAAAGTGCCTGTCAGTTTTGAAGACCTTATCAACCAGCCTGTGGCTTTGCTGACATACCCCCCCTTATCATCCTACTTGGACTGCCCTAGCTTCAGTGATATAAGAGTCACAGTGTATGAGAATGAGGTCATGGTTGGAGAGCAATCAGGTACGGGAATACATATATACATGCCTATAGAAGCTTGAGTATATTGATATAAAATATCCCCATTTCCTAGTTTTCAATTGTCACAAGGTGATTTTGGCCGCTGCGTCTCCTCTGTTTGATAAATTCTTTACGGAAAAAATGGACGGATCTGAGAAAAAAGGGAAAATCATTCATGGCGTCCATCCTGAAATATTCAAAAAGATCCTTGTTTTTATCTATTCTTCAGACTATGACGTTAAAGACGTCAATGAAGCTTCCAAGATTATTGAGGCAGCACATCGGTTCGAACTTCCTGATCTTTGTGAGATTATGTTTAAATATATACAAAAATCAATCAATCATAATACTATATACATTATTTGGAGCTTGGCAAGTATGTTCATAACCTTTTTTTTTTGGTTTTGGTCTTGTAAAACACTGCTGCTATATATTAATCAATGACGTATGCTAGCTTGCTATCACTGTACGGATACACAGGGATACTGTCAAAAATTTATAAGAAAAAATGTCAGAAAACTGCTCTCAAGCGAGGCATGGATACACCTTGATCCTGAAAGTGTAATACGGACCCTCAATATCGATCACATTTCCCCACCTGTCAAAGAAAATCTCTTTTATGAAGCTGTTCTTGATTGGAGAGAACAGGCTCTTTATAATATCCGGTCCAATTCTGAAGACCATGACGACCCTGGTTCATCGCATACATTGGTCGATGACACCAAAAAGAGCCTTGAAAAAGGCCCAGGCTATCCGCAGACGGAAGAAGACGTCGAAGAGGCCTTTGAGGAAATGATTTCGCTAATTCGTTTCAACCAAATGGATACAAAATATTTATTTGAAAAGGTTGAAGGAGATTTTGAGATCATGAAGTCAGATAAATGTAAAAAGCTTGTAAGTATATCAAGCAAAGTCCTTTATATGTGTATTAGTCAATATCTACATCTGTTTAAGCGTCTTTTTCTTTTATTGATTATATCCTCAATGCTACATCTTCCAATGGCCGTACCACCCGAGACCCTTTTTGTCTTCAAGACTTTAGCCGCTATCTATCCAAGTATTAAATGAGAGAGAGAGAGAGAGAGAGAATAAAGAAATTACTCTTAATACAAATTTTTTGCCAAAGAGAAATATAAATATATAAAACAGATGCAATGGGTTATGGACAAGAGTTGTTTCTTGTAGAGTAAATTATTTCAAGCATTTTACATGTCTAATTGCGTGTAAAACAAAGACTCATTTTTAGTACCAGTCTTTAATTGTTTTATTTTAATTTATTATTTTCACTCGACAACGGGTTCTCTAATAATTCTTTTTTAGCAGTCTTTGAAAATATCACATCCCAACGGGTTCTCTATTACCTTACGATTCACCAAATAAATTCTTCTATAAACAGACCCGATATTTACCTCGCCGATATTGAATCACTTCACTGCTACTCTCCACGCCTATACTATATCAATATAAAAGCCTTTTTTAAACCAATATCCGAAAGAGAAATCAAAAGAATAAGAAACGTCGAACCAGCACACACTGTCACCTAGATCGATTTTTGTTCTTCTTACATTGACGCATTGTGGATATTTTACTTTGCACACAAGTATCCCAGTCTAGTCAGATGTAACTTAAGCCCATCTGGTTTTTCACTAGACAAAATCCCACCGCCTTACGATGAAAGGGAGAAATATCATAGTCGACTTCAATTACTGTTATCCACCAAACAATTCTTTCCTTATCTAAGAGCAATAAACACAGTATGCTGCAACAAAAACGCCTGGCTACTTCATTTATTTCATGACGCTCTTCAACATTCTAATGTAAAGATCAAGCATGCTACAATTGATTTTGACATGTACACATCAAATGTGAAGAATTTAAATACGTGGATCAAACATTATTCTGAATCAGTGAATATATTGTGTATCTATCACGGCAATGACTACAGTTCTATACCTGCAGCAAGAAAATTACACGTACATTGCAACAATTTAACTTTATTAAGGTTATACTATTGTCAGTATATTGACATGAAGAATATTTTGGATAATTGTCCGGTCTTGCGATCATTACATATACACTATTCACGTATTCAATCTACAGAGTATCCACAGTCTACACACTTGCCACATTAATTACAAAAACTGGACCTTTTTGAGTTACGAGTCGATATAAGTATTTTTAAATACATATCTTCCCGTTGTAGACAGCTGAAATATATGACATTGAATGAGATCAAATATCATTGTTCTGACTTTGATGAAACCGGACAAGCACTTGTGGATATGCATTTTTCGCCGCTAAAAGTGTTAATAACATACGATACCAGTTTTAAGTATTTTGATTCTCGTTCTTCACAGCCCCCTAAACTTATTGTCATTGAGCAAAAGGGAAATGATAATATAGATCAAGGACAAGCGCCTCAATCAAGCTGGTATCATTTGTGCGCCGACAGAACAAACAGAAAGAGCAGGATGCTGGTATGGGAACTTGGAAGACGTGACATCGAATTTTCCCAGAGACACCTCAAAAACTTTAAGCGAAGAAAAGGAAGGGAAAATATATGAAAGGACATGAAGGGATCTAGCAGTGGTTATAAGCTGAAAAGGTTTTGGAAAAGAGATATTCAACATGGTGTCATAAAATTTTGGTTCAAATCTGTTGAAGATTATTTTCTTGATGCAAAGACCGACCTAAATCTTGTATTTGATTATTGATCTAAAATAAGAATCAGAATTATCATTGATTTGTATAATACTTCAGTAAATAAGAAGCTTATAATAAAGTATAATTTCTGAAGATAACGATATATTTGACATGCTAGTTAAGCTTTCTTTTGACTTATTGACATCTATCAAAGTACATACATTCTGATGAAAGCGCCCTTACTATCATTTAATCAACAGAGCACAATATTCGAATTCACTTTTACTATTACACTTGGAAATTCATTTTATGCTCTTCAATTAACAAATCGATATTATACATATATACATCATTATTTCTTTCTTTGGTTTTGGCTTCGAACAAGCGATTAATTAATAAAGATTACCAGTCATTGTAAGATGCCTTAGAGTTAGAATGCATATTTGGGTTTGACTTACGAGGTATAGCTGTCCAATTTAATGGCAATAAAATAAATACAGCTAGCAAAGAAAAGCTATTGAACTACTTTGAGTTATTTCTCTAGCTATAAAGTTACTTTTAAGCTTACTATGATGAGCGATACAAGAAGTACCGGTGGATAAATCTGCTATTCCAAATACAGCAAAGAACAATTAAGGTGCTCTTCACTCAACCAGAGCTTACAACCGAACGTCCCACCAGACCCATCAGCCAGACCTTGCATAAAGATTTATGATATACATATAGTAATTATGTAACATAAAATTTCCAAAATGATAAAAAATCTTGTACGTGTCGAAGGTAAAAATACACCTTCAACAGAAAGTAAGATGGGAAATAACGTCCCATATACATCATACTAAACAGTCATAGTTACATAGCTACTTTTTATAAAAACGGCAGTTATGTCAATGTGTTATTTTATTTCTCTACTTCTATTTCATTGCCTTTTAAATGAATCTGTTTGCTCTTCTGAGTCATTTATCGATTAGGAAATACAAAGAGAATTATTAGACAATGATTGTAAATTTTCTCCCACTCCCCCCTCTCCAAGAACAATGTCAATAAGATAGTTGTAGTTCATTGTTGTTTTGTTTTAATAAAAATATTGCAAAATAAAGGACACAAGAAATAGTACAAAAAAATGCACATACTATGACATTTTAGAGATCAAGTACTCCAGAAATATCTGGAGTAACATATAGCTCAAAAATTGGTTTGGGAATGGTTTGGGTGATGGGTCTGGTGGAACGTTAAGTTGTAAGATCTGAGGTCATAAAGAGAGCCTCAAGAAAAAACTATTTAGCTAGTATCCTGTACAACTTTGCAGATCCGAGTGCTTAAAGGTCTCTATTGTTAAAATTGTGTACGGCATTGTCATAAATTTGTTGGCGAGAATACTTGACGACCGACAAGGCAAGTAAGTACTAGGTGTGTCAAATTTGGAGCGAAATTGCCGCAATCTGTCCCCTCTGTGCCTTTTTTAAGCATTGCAATGAAGAATACGTTGCCCATGGGTGATTGACTCCTTTGCGACGTAAGTTTTGGTGCTGGTGGTCGGTTGAAAGTTGTTGGTAGTGGGACCAAGTTCTGATCCAAAATATCGCTCCAAACGAACCGAAGAAACAATCAAAAAATCTGCGACTTGACTAAAAATCATGACCTTTAGTGCATTGTCATTGGTGACTTTCTTGACCCAGAGATCAAAGTTGGAGGGAGGAAGATGTGCCACCGAGAAGTGTTCAAAATGCGCATCTAGAGTCGGCAATCAGTTATATGGTTCCACGCAGTTGACATAAAGCAGTTGAGGGCTATCCACCAACAGGCAACCCGCAACCAACCTTGAGTCTGCAAAGCGAAGGCACATTTGGAAGCGCCAATCGGCATTGAGCGGCCGAGTCATGTTGTCCAGGGGTTGAAATTCAATATGTTGAACTGTTCTGTAAAAGAGAGACTGAGTAAGGGCTCGTTGCATGATTCATTTGTCGGCATCTTCGTCCATCACGCCTTTATAATCTACTCCCGAGGTGGGGTCTGTCGGATACCACCCCATAACATACGACATGCCCTAAACCGCATTCGCGTCTTCTTTTGCTATCTTGACGAAGCCAAAATCGTTCTGTGGCCGTGGTTCATTTCCTTGCTCCTCCTTACCTCACCAGATTCACCTCAATCTGCGGGCGGCCTTTTCTCCCGTGTGTCTTTCATTCAAATCGACGGTCGCCCTCTCCACAAGAATTTGGCTAGTTCTCTTCGACGTCGCCTCGTCACGTCTCCTATCTCTTTACCTCGGGAAGCCTTACGGACAGACTTGCGGGACAATCTTACTGGACAGCCTGGACGCTAATTTTAGGGAGACGACATCTTGAACCTACCGAACCACAGATTATGACCTTTTGCCGGCATAGAATAACTCTATCGGGTCCCTAAGGATAGAGAATATTCGTATAAAGACTTTCTTTTGTGCTTTTCAAAAAAAAAAGGTGGATGTGAATTACTTACCAGTTGGTACTATCAGACTCTTGGAATATAAGCAGGTGAAAGAAAGAGAAAGACATGATACACGTAAGGCCGATAAATAGTAAAATATTCAACAAGATTGCATCACACTCTAATGACAACAATTCCTTATAATCTTCTGTATAACTGGCTATTGATATAGTGTATTTGTGACTAATTACTATTCTTTCTTTATTGTCAAGTCTAAGTTTAGGACAAAAACAGCTATTAATTGAATATACAGGATTTGTTTTTCGTACGAGACAGTGTTTTTATTATTAAGTTGTCCAAATACGGACTGTGGCTCTTAATATAATGCGAGTCAGGGGCCTGGGGAGAGATAGATAAGCACAAAATGTGTGGACAAGTAGTAAGTCTAATGAATACAATGAATATATTATGTTTTTTTAAGGACACACCATTTTGCCCTGAAGGATTAGAGAAAGACACCAGCCCAGACATGTGCCACAATTGATTAGTCCGGTTGTATAGAAGCGTCGTGCCCCAACAGGAAACGTCGTCCTCATAAGATCGCTGTTTGATTAATGTTCTTTATGAACTAGGAATCGTATTGTGAAATGACGGTAGAATTTTGTTTTATTTTCTTTTGGGCTTTATTTAGCACTACTGTTTGTAGCTGTACAAGTATAAAAATGGGATGAATCTCGAAGCAAAGTTTACTTCTCTCTCTCTCTCTATTTCAAAAACATTTTCTCTTAACATATCTTTACCAATCCTGATGTCTTCAAGTTCCCGCTTATCTGCCAGCCAAAAAGAGGGTGTACAATATTCATCTGTGAGTAAAATAAACCAGGAATCTGGAAAGAAGAGAGAGAGAGAGAGAGAAAAAAACGGCGTTGATGTGTACAGTTAATGCTTAAAATATTTTTCCGTTTTAGACCCCTAGTTTTCTAGGCCCAGAGTGGCTTGATAACGGTAATTCTTGTTAAGAATAAATTACTTGCGCCTTGATGAAATACACACTCAAATGATTGTATAGGGTATCACTATGAAAATAGCACACACCAGCCAACATACCCTTTCCAAAATTATGGACCCCATACACACTATTTCATTCCCTACACTCTATTCAGTGAACAGTGGGATGATTTTATACAAGAAATATTAGGTATTCACTTGTTCTTAAACACACACAAATTAAAATTTAGAGAGGTTTCAACTTTAGGCTTGGATACATATTCAAGTAGTGCTAACTAAGAAAACCTTTAGCTGTTCCAATCCCCGGTGATAATGTAGAGACGCATTTTCAGGGTTTTCCATTGCTGCCACCACTTGATCCAACCTCTCCAGGATCTTCTCAAGGCCACTATGAAAATTGTACGTAATTGATTGTACAGCACATTATTTTGTGAATAGTTATCTAATGAGTATGGACTTTTTCAAGATTATGATTATCAGCCAAAAACACCCCAACAACAAGTACAATACGATCCGACTGACATTGCTATTAAAAATTATAATCCTAAATATACATCGTCTCAAAGCGCCAAAGTTTCTAATATAAAGTCTATAAAGAAATACACATGCTCCGAATTTTTCTACGAATCAGAACATACATATAAATTAAATAGACATATGAAAACCCACACGGGCGACAGAAGTTTGTTTTGCTGCCCTAAATGCCCAAACACATACTCTACCAAATACAATCTTAAAAGACATGTCAACAAATGCGAAGGTTGATGACTTGGGATAACATATGCTTTTTTTTTTAAAAAAAATTATTCTCCTACATATTCTTTCCTTTGTACAACTTCTTTATTTATTTTATATATCTTTTTTATTTCAACTTTCGCTTTCATCCCTGTCTTCATCTTTATTTTCATTTTAATTTTTAATTCGATTTTATTCATGTTCTCTTTTATACCTAATAAACAACTGCGTATTGACTATACACTTATGGTACTAGCATGGTAGCCAGTGCATACATGGATCTTATATAGTCTGTATAATGAAGTCTAATCCTATCTTATTTCTCATTTTCTATTTTCTGGAGGCAATTATTAGAAGACATTTAGTCAATACCATATTATCCTTCTGAGCTGCTATCAATTAAATCAACTTCATAGTAATATAGAAAGGTAAAGAAGATGAAAAATATACTACAATATATATATATATTGATTTCTATATGCTTTAAATCATGCAAATTAAAGAAATTAAAAAGAAAAAATGTTGAAATTACATATGATATTAGCTGGATGATCAAGAAATACGGTTTTTATGCTTCTAGCAACTTTTATTCATTCACCTTACTATTAAGATCAGTTGCTTATTTCTTGTGATGTTTTACAATAGTAAGCTGCTAAGAACATTGATGGGATTCTAATTCCACACACTTGGAATACCGTTTATTTTATTGTAGCTCATCCTATTTTTATTTGGGAGGGCTGTTAAAATTGTCAATAGTAATTTTGCCAAGTACCTTGATAGCAGTTAGATAGTTTTGATCCTTCTATAATATAAGCTCATTTTGATCAAGACCTGAGTTCAGCAACATAAGTCTTGATCGGTAATGCTCTATGAGTCTTCGATGATCATTGTACAATTGACTTTAATTGACTGAACAAGATAGAAATATTTGTATTATTGTTGATTTAGAATGAAAATTGATCCAACATTGTGCCACAAAAGAGAGTATTATTTCCAGAAGCAATGCTCTTACTATTACTATTGATATGTTCTTTAATGGATTTTGTTTTTATCATTATTCTTTTCATGAAACAATTTTCTATAAATGTGTATAGATGTCCTACAAAGGATAAATCTGTGAATTCGGTCATTTTTGTTTTGTTGAAACATGTATCTTTTAGAGCTAGATATCTAATATAACGTTTTAATATAGCATGGATTGACATTCAATATACAAGTCAGTTTTATATTCTCGAACCTTTGCCAAATACATTCCATTTTTTATAAACCTTTAACTTACACACACACATACAAACCACTTTACAGGAGATAGACTCTATAGGGACAGCATTATAGTATATTCTACTGCTATTATCGAAAGCGTGAAGTCTTATCAGCTCTAATAGTAGCCAGCTTCCTTTTCGTCTTCCCGTAAAATTTCTTACAAATGCCTGCATCAATATTGTTCCATTCTTCGTGTAAGGTTTTTTCTAGCTCCTCTGGGGTATTAGGACTAGCAGTCATTAATAGAAGGTTATCGGACATGTAGTTCCATAAGTACTCGAGTGGAGTAAAAGCAGGACCATTTTCTGGCCATTCCAAAATCTCAAATCCAACCCCTTTTTTCTTGTTGGTGGGTTCATCCTCGGGTAGTGCAGCCTTATCTCGTATGTATGGGCAGCCACCTCTGCAAACACCAGGAAGAGTCTCATAGAACTCCAAGAACTTTTCTAATAAGAAATCCGACCGCTCCTCGGGAGTCATGTTGTCCTTGAGCGTAAATAGTGGTCCCATACCTCCAGGCCAGATACATCCCCAAACCACAACGGTAGCTATAATCTGGCTTGGATCTAAAGTTGGGAATACAGAATAGTATACATCGGATTCAAGACAGATATGGTTTTTTCCATTTCTTTGGTAAATGTGACATCTGCATTCATCAGCCCAGACAACACTTTTACACCAAAGCTCATAGTTCTTCAGATTTTTCAGCAATTTGAGGTGACGGGCAATGTATTTTGGGTCGATAAAAGGCTTTCCTTGAACAACAGAATAACGCATGTTTATATGGTCCAAGTGTCTCCCAATAGTGTTTTTATAATCAGTTTTCTTTGATCTTGCTACAATCTCCTCTGGTTCCGCTATAATTGGCTTTTTACTTTTTGCCAAAGGTCGACTGGCTTTTTTTGTAGGGCGCGAGACTTGAGGTTTGACCTGTATTAGCATACGCTTGATCGGCTTTTTTTTATTTGTAGAAGACTTGGTTTTCTTAGCCGGTTTAGTTGCCTTGTATTCTTTTAAGACTCTGTTGACTGTGTATTGGGACACATTCTGTTGAGCGGAAATTGAAATGGTACTGATTCCACTGAGGTGTTGGCCAACAATTACTCCTTTTTCAACATCTGAAAGGTTCTTGAATGACCTAGCAGCTTTGGAATCTTGCGTTTTGGGCATGATTGCAAGGATGTTAAATTTGATTCAAGAGATTAAGGATAAGAATAAATAAAAATGTAAGAGTGCGCGAAGAATGGTTGGCGGAGATAGACGCTAAAATGCCTATTCGTTAGTTTCTTCAGTTTTAGTGTATATTATGTATGATGTCAATATTGAGAGTGTAAAAATCGTTGTTATTTGTTTATTAAAAATAGAAGAAGGCGAAAAAGTGTCATAAATATCAAAAGCTTTAGCAGATCATACATTAATAAGAGAACAACATACAAGGACACAGCTACGGGGTATAGAGTATATACCTATATATAAGATGAAGGCCGATGGTGTGCCTTTGAGGTTTAAGAGTGGTATAAAAAGCTGACAATGTTATTGGAGTGTCTTTACCTATGCCTTCAGAAGGCTGTTTCTAGAGTCACTTGTACATGGACACTTTATATAGGGAGGTCTATATTAATGCTTTGGGATCAAACAGCTAGTGTTTTGTACTGATAAGCGGTTTGGGTCATATTGCCTAATACTGACTTCATCCTTAAAATATCGTACTTTTGGTCGAGGCGTTTAATATTGTATGTGCAATATATTTTATCTAAGAGGAGCTCACTATCCATTAGTAAACGTAAAAGTGATATCCTGTGTTGTGTCATGCATTTTTACTCCACTTATTTATTCGGAAACGACGGTCTTGTTGGCTTGTATGCTGTCATGGAGAACAAGAAAATCAGCATTTCTAACAGTAGTATACACCCACAGTATATATTGGTAGAAAATGTATATTACTCTTCCAACTGCAATTATACTTCTAACAGATATATGTGGATGTGCACTAGTGTATTGATGTAAAGACTCTTATTGTGTAGTGATTCAGTAAGATTCTTGTTGGTTAATTAGCTTTTATATTACTATATATCCATACGTTCCGATAAATCAGATACACACAAGAACTAAGAGTTTACGACTGGTAAAATAAAACATAAAAATATCCTTCAACCATAGCCATATATCCTCTCAAGTAGACCCAATTCATATTTTTGTTGTTGCTTACAGGTATTGAAAAGACATACTACTATATATGATATTCGATCTCATTATACGCAGACTAATGTACAAGTATCAATTTGATAATCAAACTTGTAATGTACTCTATATCCTATATCATATATATATTTAAATAATATGCCAAGACATATTATACTTAGTCGAGAACTGCTACTATTTCTTCTTCTTTTAAAAGAAAGGAAGAAAACATATCCTTGCTTTTACTGGCAATATATTTTTATATAATTTTATTCTTAAACGACTGTACAAAAGGCTACACGTACAATCTTATAAACCCAATTTCAAGTAAAGAAGACCTCGGATCTTACTCTCTTAATTGGTCTATAAAATCATTCATATTATTTGGATAACTTTCTCAGTCAAGATATAGAGACAAAGTGTGTATGTGTTTTTCTTTACATATCTTCAAGGAACCAAAGAAACCACTCTTTATTCGTTAATAATAATATGTATTCTTTCTTTTTTTTTTGGAAAAAAAAAGGAAGGAGCCTTCAATAAATGGGACATTAAAGAAGTAAAGACTGATTGATAATTATCCAATGCTACACATACGCTTGACTGCAACAAATTGGTTTTATGTTTGTGTACATTGTCAAGTAAACTTTTCCTATAAGCTATATATGGCGTTTATGGCTTTTATGGTGTTTATGAAATTTAAAATATACTGAGTAAATTATACTATATAACCTACGGATGAGTCAAGTTTATCATAAATGAGCTCCTCTGATTTAATTTAGATGCTCAATTTTTCTCACCCTACTTTTTGTTTTTGTTCAAGGAATGTCTAGAGAACAATTCAGTGCAGTGTCTTGAGCTAAGCTTCTTTTCCAAAGCCATTTTCTTAATGAACACACACAGACGCACACAGACGCACACTAGAACACATATCTATGGACTCTGAAGAGCAACAATTTACAGATATTTTGAAAAGACTTTTGTATCATTCAACAGACAAGACTATGAATAGCTCCTTTTGAGTTTTGTGACTATTTAAAATATGTTTGTGTTTTGTATTGAATGTCAAGCCATCTTGTCTTGATACTTTATCTGGGCTTTTGTGAAATGGAGGAGGAACTTTAGGTTCAATTCGTCTTTTTTTATACTGTTTCTAGGCTTTTACGATAATACAAGAGGAGATATCTCAGACCCAATTTGGCTGGAGGAGATATGACTCATTAATGTATATATAATATTGTAAAGGTTTGTGCCCCCGGACTGCTTATAGACGCACTACTTTAGAATTTTTTTTGATGCCGCTTGAGGAAATGAAAATGCACTCTCAAACTTGAGCTTACGTTTATGTAGAATTGGTAGTATTATAGCGCACATACCATGTTATGTTATTTTTGTGTCATATACTCTGCTTTGAACAAGTAGATACTTCACTGTGTATCGATGTGGTCTTCATGCAACACCTAGAAATTTCAATGTTTAATAAAGTTAATTTAATATGAAAAAGTTTGCTGGTCTCAACTTTCTAACTGTGAGCTAAATAATGGGATTACATTTTAAACAATATTAAGCTTGCTATAATGATATCCATATCGTAATTTCCTGAATTCCAAGCTGGCCAAAGTGGCTTTTATTTGTTTGAATGTTTGTGTATTGTCTTTAACTACAATAAAGAAGACTATACCTTAAATAATGCAAGTCCTTGTGAGGATTAACAATACACAGCACTGTATTTGAATCAGCAATTGTTTTAGTATATCATGCTGAGTACTCATAGGGCCCTATAGAAAAAAAAGACAATTCTTATATATAATATTTACTTGTACCGTTAACTTTGGCTATCAACATATTGAATGCAATCTTATTAGCATAGTCAATCCCATAGTAGCTGTATATTCTAGTACTTCAGCATAAAGTAAAGAACCTATGCTTTAGTAAGATTTTGGGGGGTTTTTAAGATAAAATAAAGAAAACATTTGTATGTATCTCAATAAGTGTAATTAAAGAAGTATAAAATCCAAGTAGTTAGAATTAAAGAGAGTTGGTTATATATTTAATATTTGACGAAGAATTAAAAAAGGCGTTCATTTTTTTCTTTTTTTTTCTTTTTTGAGCAGCCAATCAAGGATCAGTTAAGATACTTAAAACGAATCCCAGAATCTTTGTGTTACTTTAGCAAACACTTCCTGGACATTGGTCTTTACTATGTAACCTTTGATATAAACAGTTTTACAAGTATAAAAAGGATGTTAAATTCGAAAAAAATCATCCTTATTCTCTCTTATCAATCCCAATATTACTTTTTTTCCACCACTTCTTTACCGCTTTTCTGATGTTTTCACCTTCTCACCTACCCACCGGTCAGTACTATTGTGTACAGCCTTTATCCGTAAGTGACACGACCCGGTTTCTCGGAAAAAAGAAAAAAATCAAATGTGGTGGATATAGCCAGCTGCTTAAAACATTTCTTTGTTGTAGACCCTTAGTGTTTCAAACCAAGAGTGGCTTGATTACGGTAATTTTTATTAAGAATAAATTACTTGCGCCTTGATGGAATACACACTTAAATCTTTGTATAGGGTATCTTGATGGAGACAGCACACGCCAGCCAACATACCCTTTCCAAAAATATGAGTCCCGTACACAGCAAAACAGCTCCTATGTCCTATCTAGGGAGCAATGGAAGAATGATATACTAGAAATATTAGGTATTGCCTTGTTCTTAAACACACACAAATTAAAATTTAGAGAGGTTTTAACTCTAGGCTTGGATACATATTCAAGTAATGCTAACTAAGAAAACCTTTAGCTGTTCCCATCTTCGGTGATAATATAGAGACGTATTTTCAGGGTTCTTCATCGTTGCCACCGCTTGGTCCAACTTCCCCAGGATCTTCTCAAGGCCACTATGAAAGTGGTACGTAATGGGTTACATAGTGAATTATTTTTTGAATAATCATCTAATGAGTATGGTCTTTTTCAAGATTATGATCATCAGCCTGAAACACCCCAGCAACACGTACAATACGATCCAACTGATATTGTTATTATACATTATGATCCTCATAATCCATCGCGGCAAAACATCAAAACTTCGAGTCCAAGCTCTACAAATATGTACAGATGCACTGTGTGTCCGTATGAAACGGATAAGAAATTTAATTTTGCTAGACATTTGGAAACCCACTCGGACGTCAAGATTTTGTTTTGCTGCCCTAAATGCCCAAACACATACTCTACCAAACACAACCTTCAAAGACATACCGACCAACGCAGATGTTAATGACCTATGATAGCCTATGCTCTCTTACTTATGTTCATATATATCCTTTCCTTTGTACAGCTTTTTTATTTATGCTCTTTAGTGTCTTTTTATTTCAACTTTCACTTTTATCTCCATCTTCATTTCCATTTTTCATTTTCAGTTCAATTTCATTCATGTTCTCTTTTACACTTAATAAACAACTGCGTATTGACTATACACTCATGGTATTAGCATAGTAGCCAGTGTATACTTGAGATCCATATAACTTGTATAATGAAGTCTAATCCTATCTTATTCTCTTTTTTTTGGGAGGTAAATATCATAAGACATTTAGTGTTTACTATATTATCCTTCTGAGCTGATATCCTTTAAATCAACTTCATAGCAATATAGAGAGGTCAAAAAGGTGGGAAATATGCTACAAGATATTTATTTATTCAGAATGGTTTTTCAAAATCAAATGTAATTCTTGGTTCTGTATTCTCACACCTTTGCCTTTTTGATGGTTACTCTACAGAGACTGTTACAGTGCCATGGCTTACTGAATAGTATTTCATTTAAAGCAAGGTTTCCCTCTTTCAATATTAAAGCAACTGTGTCAAAAATCGATCCACTACCCAAGTATTCTTCTGCTCAACCTTCTTTCCTTTTTAAATGATAGTAATTAGCATAAAAGTTGCAGATGACCTGATGTTGAATTGCTCAGCATTTTTTTTTGTTCTTTTGTGAATTATCTATCTTATTTTATTTTATTTTTGAAAGAAATCTGCAGTAGACTGTGTACACATTTGAGCCTGAGAAAATGAGTGAGTGAGCGAATGTACCACCAGCATAAGTTTTTTTTTTCTTTTTTTCTTTGGAGGATCAAAATATTCAAATAGAATTTTGTACCATAGACGCAAACGAAATATAGTATATATATATAAACCTCTCTTTCATTGCACATTTTCCCTTTCTTTCTTGCTTTAATTTCTTGCCATTTTCATTGCTGCTGCTGTTGGTGCTTACTATAATCATACTTTCTTTAATTGTAATCTTACTGTCGAATAAATAAGGATAAAAGCCAAGACCAAAAATAAAAAGAAAGAAAGAAATGGCCATAAACTTAATGATATTTTTTTTTGATAATAATAATTATATATATATATATATATATAAAAGAGAGAAAACATGCTATGTTTTTCTGTATTAGAGAATAATTAGAAAATAATCTCCAAAAATAAGGGTAGTTTTTTTTTACATAGTCAAATGCAATATCAAAATTACTGAGAGGGTATTTGTTTTTAAAACAAGAAGAAATTCAATGTAAAATTATGTGTAATTCCTGTTATTCTGAATTGATCAATTAACAAAATGTCAATAGAAAGCTTTAGATTTTCTCTCCCCTTTTCTTTTTTTTTTTTTTTTTTTTTTGGATCCTTGCTATTGATTTTCTCCTTACATAATATCCCGAATCCTTTTTTTTCTTTAAAAAAATATTATTCTTTACGATCTTCTTGATCTTCTTGACAGACTCTTTTATTTTTCTGTCTTGTAATTTCTCCTTGGTTGTTTTTCTCCTTGATTGTTGTTTCTTTGTATTGTTATTTATTTATATGTTTGTTTTTATTGTTTTCAAGAAAGACAAGGTAAGTAATCGTTCAATAAAGCAAGCAAACAATAAGAAAAGAAGGTGTGGATCTGCAGATAAAGAAGTAGAAGAAGGAAAAGGGCTTGATAGTTTGAATAAAAAATATAATATAAAAGAATAAAAAATAATAGTATCAGGCATGTTGTGTATAAAAAAAAGGGGGAGAGGGAGAGGAAAGAACTAAAACAATAATGATAATGATAATGATAATAAGAGTAAGAGGAATATTAATAATAACAGTAATAGTAATAGTTGTAATAAGGATAGAGGATAAAGGATAGTAAACGAAATTGGAAAGGGGAGTCTGACTAGGTAGAAGATGATGTATATTATATAAAGAGAGTGTTGGTTGTCTGGCGTAGTTTCTCTTTAGACATTCATTGATTAACTACTTCTTTTACATTAACTCTGTTAGTTAATTCCATCTATTCGCTCATGTCGATGACTACCCCCCAAAAAAAAAGTATAAAAAAAATAAGAAGAAGAAGCTGAAATGAGAGTATGCTGTGTGGGTGGAAGAAATCAAGCCTATTTTTTTTTTCTTGTTGGGTGTAGAATGTTGTTCCATGTATGGTTGCAATTCTTTACACACAGACACAAAGACACGCACCAACCCAAGCACACGCACACGCACACGCACAAGCACACGCACAAGCACAAGCACACGCACACACAGATGTACACAGAATATATAAAAGAAAATAAAAGTGGTGTGGTGTTCAGTATGTGGTGTGGTTTTTTTTAAAGTCATTGTTGCTTTTTTGGCTGTATATGGTGTTGATTTTGGTTTTTTTTTAGTTTTGTTTTTTGTTTCTTTTTTTTGCCAAGTGATGTATATTTTTTGTGATTTGTGTGTGACAGTGACAGTAAGTAAGTGAGTGAGTGAGTGAGTGAGTGAGTGATAGAGACAACGAGATAGTTGGAGTGATGGTTAAAGGGTTTAAAGGGTTTAAAGGGTTTAAAGGGTTGAGGTTTTAAGGATGGAGTGAAATAAATTGTGTATTTTTTTGCGACATTTGTAATTTTTTTGCGACAATTTAAGTATGTGAAAGTGTGTAGGTGAATGTGTGAGAGAGAGTGTGAGAGTGTGAGAGTGTGAGTGTGTGAGTGTGTGTGTGTGTGTGAATTGGGTTGAAAGAATTGTTTCTGGTCTTTTTTTTTTGGGATTTTTTTTTGGTCTGTTTGATTGTTTGATTGATTTTTGTGTGTAAATTTTTGTTTCTTTTTTTTTGTTGTTGTTGTTGTTGTTGATTTGTTTTAAAAATCATCATAGAGTCGGGTTGAATTCATTAGATGAAATGGCTTTGATGGAGTTTGTGCCATTGTTGGTTTACGATCTCCAATTGTGGAATTCCGGTTCAAAAGGGGTTCCATTGGTGCCATATTGGATTCAGGAAGGTAAGGTGCAGAAGAAGAAGAGGTGTCGTGGTATCCGTTTGTACTAGGGTTCATAAAAGAAGGGGAGGGGGCTACGATTGCTTTTGCTTGGCTACGTAATCTATAAAAACCAAGTTAAGTTATACACATTTATAAATCATTTCCGAAACATTATACACATCGTTTATATGAATGTTGTATTAAATTGAATTGTTGCGTTGCATTCCATTTCGTTGCCGTGCGTTACGTTACGTTAAGTTGTGTCGTTGTGGCACGTTTTTTTTTGTGTTGTAGTCGTAGCATGTCGTATAGATTACCGTCGAGTGTTGTGATTATAAATTATAGTCGTAATTTTGTGATTGTGTAGAATTGAATAGCAAAATATCTGTCCCCTATATACATATAAAAATGTTCATACTTACACTCTATTACTGGAAGTACCTATCAGAGGATGGAGGTGCGTCCATTGAGTGAAAGAAAAAGGAGAATAGCATCAACAAAGCGTAGTTCCCCTGGTTTACCACTCCCACCCACACACTCATACACAAAAGCACATACACACATAGATGTCTGTGTTTTTGTGTATGATTCTTATTTGCATTTAATTATTTCTCGGTTGTGTGTACTTACCAGATGTTTGGTTATCGCGCACAAGCATCCTTCCTCCACCAGTTCCAGTGTAACCAAAGTTAGACATGTAAGCATGATCTTGAGGGAGTGTTGATGTTGCCTGAAGATTTTGCTGAATAGATTGTTGTTGCTGAAGAGCTTGTTGTTGTTGTTGCTGCTGCTGCTGCTGAGCTTGCTGCTGAGCTTGTTGTTGTTGTTGTTGTTGTTGCTGCTGCTGCTGCTGGAGAGTTTGCTGTTGTTGCTGGAGAGTTTGTTGCTGTTGAAGAGTTTGTTGCTGTTGGAGAGTCTGTTGTTGCTGCTGCAAGATTTGTTGGGGTTGGAGAAGGTGGGGTGGTGTATGTTGATAAGGTGATTGGTGTTGCAGCATCTTCTGTTGTTGTTGGTACTGAAGCATGACATCGTCCAGACGCTTTGAGGTCTCTGGTGATTTTATATCTGTCCGATATGGCTGTGCTGCACCGCGGTGTGCCACGCCTGCAGAGGGGAGTGCGGCATTAGTCATAACAGGACGTCGTTGTTGCACAGGTAATCCTGTGTCGTATGTAACTGGAGTAGAATTATACAGGGCAGTGTCGATAGGTCCGGATTGAATATCTGTCATTTTCTTCTCTTGCTATACTTCAGTTATCAGTGTTCTTGTTGGATCCCCTTTTTTTCATTCATTCATTCATTCATTCATTCATCCATTTGTTCGTTTCTTAATAATAATACTTATTGTTCTACATATATATATATATATGTGTGTGTGCGTGTGCGTGTATTCACTTTATCCATATACTATACTACTTACTCACATACAAACACACAAAGATCCATAAAATTCATACACACACACACACACACTTGTATATATGTAGAACAAAATAAAGAAGCTAAAGGACAAACTAATGACAAGGAAGGATATTTACCATTTTGCGTACGGTCCAGTCGAATACGTAGTCGTATTGGAAGCCTTCGCGTACAAAGAGATCACGGAATAGTTTGCGGAGGTATGAGTAGTCAGGCTTGTCGTCGAATCGCAGTGATCGGACATAGTTGAGGTATATGGCGAATTCATTGTGTAGGCCACGACATAATATATCAGCGGGTGTAGTCATCTTCTTCTCCATGATCTTGTCGTATTTTTCCTTCTTTGATCTAGCCCGAATACCCTGCCATGGTAACTGGCCGCGGCAGAAATACACAAGAATGTAGCCGAGTGATTCGAGGTCATCGCGCCTTGATTGTTCTATGTACCAAATTAATAGGCATATTTTTTTTTGTTAATATTGTTTTAGGACAATTAAAATAATCAAAATAATGATGCTGATAATGAAGTCTATTATCATTATCGTCAAATATACATTATATATTCTCAGACAAACAAACAAACAACCAAGCAAACAAACAAATATAAAAGGCATATTTTTTTTTGTTATTGTTATTATTACCGATTCCCAGGTGAGTGTTTACGCTTGCATAACGTGGTGTTCCAGTAAGGTTCTTATTTTCTCTGTAGGGGATGTGGGAGTTTGTCTTGGGGTCTCGGTAACGCTTGGCCAGACCGAAATCAATCATGTTAACCTGGTTGCCGCGCTTGCCGATACCCATCAAGAAATTGTCAGGCTTGATGTCTCGATGAATAAAGCCTTTATCATATCAATAGTTAAAACAAATGTATATATATAAATATACTATATATTAATTTTCTTTTTTGTTTGGAAGGAAGGAGGCGGGAGGCGGGAGGAGGAGGAGGGGGGTGGGAGTTATTTTGTTTCAAAAAGACGTACCTTTGGAGTGAACATATTCAACTCGGGATAACTATACAAAATAAATAAATAAATAAATATATTATGATAAACGTATTAACAAGACGATCAACACGTGTGATTATGAGAATTATTATTGACTGACTGATGTTATTTGATTCGATTTGATTCGATTCATAAACTGATTATATAATAAGGATAATAATAATAATAATAATCAGACGACATACCAATTGATCAGCCAACAAAAGAACTGTCTTGAGAGAAAAACGACGTTTGCAGTAGTTGAAAAGATCTTCCATAGAAGGACCAAGGAGGTCCATGACCATAACATTGTAATCGCCTTCTTTACCGTACCATCTGACGAATGGAATACCCACACCGCCTGCCAATGTTTTGTAGACTCTGGCTTCGTATTCCAGTTGAGGGTGTGCAGCCCTTATGCTTTCTAATTTCACACCAACATCTTCTTGGCTCAAGATATTTGAGCCTATGATGTGAATTAGTTAAATAAATAAATAAGGGATTTTTTTTTGTTAATGAGGATGATGATTATATAGGAAATAGTAAAGATGATGATGAGTAATCTTCATTTGCAAAGGATTCTATTGAATGGTTGTAATGTTGTTTACCAAGGTAAATCTCTCCAAATGAGCCAGCGCCAATCTTTCTGCCTAGCTTGTACTTGTTGCCAATAACGATATCCCGTCCTTCTAATGACATGTTTTCTTATATATAAATTATATATAAATTATATATATATATATATTATATTATATAGATGTGTGAATGTAAATGTACTTCTTTATTCTAAAAAGAGTATACGAAGAGCCAAAATATAAGAATAAAGTCAGGAGTGGAAGATGTAGAAGGATGAGTTTGTTGTAAAGAGAGAGAGAGAAAGAGAGAGAGAAAGAAAAAAAAAAAAGAGCGAAAAAGGAAAAGGAAAAAAAAAAAGGACAAAAAAAAAATCGACTGGTTTCGTTTTTTTTTCCTTCTTCTTTTTCTTCTTTTGGATGTCCGCCCCCCTTCTTTGGTTAAAAGAGAGAAAGAGAAAAACTCCCTTTGTACACACTACGCACAACACGCTACACACAATATAAGAAGATATTTTCTTATAAGATACATACATTATATGCACATTGTCTGTATATTTTTGAATCAAATTTTTATATATATAATATATATAATATATATATATATATATATGCTACATATGTAAATATCATGTATTTGTGTATATGTTATAAGGTGCGTGTCTGAAGAGTATATTTTATATACAATCTATTATTTTGGCTCTCAGAACGTGTACATAAAAATATACATACATACATGCATTTTTATATATATATTCACTATACTCTATAATATACTATGCTGCACTACACTGCACTACACTGCACTGTACTGTACTGCACTTCTTTACTTTTTTATTCAAAAAAGCTGTGAATGAAACAAATATTTAAAATATTCTTATATAAATAAATATGTTTCAATTTAATTTAATTTAATTTTGAAACATATTTATATAAAATAAAATAAAAAAAAATAATTTTTCATGCTCTGGTGTTTCTATTTTTATTACTAATCATCTATTAAAGATTCAAATCATCATCATCATCATCATCATCATCATCATCATCATTAACATCATCATCAAGACTTGCGGTATATTTATTAGCTGTATATGTGTTATATGAGCTGATATAACAAGAAACAATATAGCTCAATATAATAACATTGACCTTGTATCCAAAACTATATACAAATTTGTTTGCAGGTTTTCATTTAGAAAACATAATGGTAATTATAAGGAGGTACAATAGATACAATATTTGATTGAAACAAAAGAGAAATGTGCCTTTTGATAACGTGTTTCAATTGACATGCATGTATAAATACATAAATACATACAAAAAGAGAGAAATAAAGAAAATCAACGCAACACAGCACAGCACAGAGTAACGGCCGGAACGGATTGACTGATTACCGACCAAAATAATAATAATCTAAATTGAACTCAACTCAACTCAACTTCCACTAATATATATAAATATGTCACCCCCTTTTGACAATCGAACCACTCAAATGCTTCGATTTCTTACTTAATTCATTCATTCACACTAGTAACAAATAACATATGTAGATATAAATATAGAAAAAATAAAAATAAAATAAAAAGTACAAAGATCCACAGGATTCTCTGCTGCTATTATTACTATTAATGATATTCTTGTTTTGTTAATGAATGTCTATCCTGACTCCCTCCTTACTACCAAACTATTTAATCTCTTACTGCTCACAGACTCGGATTAGAATCTTTCAACGCCCCCCCACCACCAAAAAGAAAAAAGAAAGCCTTTGTCCACCCCCACCCAATACAAAATAACCAGAATCCCAATCCCAATCCCAATCGAAATTGAAATCAAAATCGAAATTGAAATCAAAATCGAAATTGAAATCCCAATTGAAATCAAAATATCAAATTCCACAACATTCATTCATTCATTCATTCATTCATTCATTTATTAGAACAAAATTCAACAACAAAAAGTCTTTTCATAATTTTGGTTCAATGGATTTCAATTGATAATCAATTCAATTGATCTGTGATTCGAATGAGATATATTAATACTAGTGTCTATTGTAATCAGATAATTTATTAATTTTATTTTTTTATTTTTTTAAAGGAAAAAGTGTAAAAAAAAAAAAAAGGTGGCGCTTTATTGGTCTCATTATCATTATAATCATTTTTGTTTGTTCGTTTGTCCAGATCAGAAATTTACAAATAGGAATGGTACGATTTATTTATTTTTGGAATAGAAAAAAAAACGAGAGGGAAACCAAATTCAGTCGCACACCAACACAAAAGTGATTCTTTTTTTGAGGTAAATGAATTGAGCCAAGTTGAATTGAATTCGATTAAAGTGAGATGAGCGTAGTTGGAGTAAGGCAAGTTTGGCTAAAAAATCTCGAATCTCAAATCTCAAATTGTGATTATGATTCTCCAAAAAAGTTTTTAAACGACACAAAATATTTCAGCTACTATTATTTGTTTTTATTCTTTTGCTGGGATTTACAGCAAGAAGTTCCTTTGCTATGGACGTTACCCAATAAGCCTATTTTCTTTCTTTCTTCTTGACTTTTGTATCTGATATAATACTCACAATAATCTAAAGATCAACAATAAAATATCGTGGCTTGTAAATAATAGGTATCCAAATGAGGAGGAGATCATCTACAATCTTTAAATGTGTGTGTATACATATACTTGCCTATAGAACAGTTGTTATTTCTCTTTGAATCTGATAAGAAAAAATAAAGTCAAGATAATCAGGTGGTTTGTGTCTATAGTGTGTATAGTATATGGAAAAAAAATATATATTTAAAGAGTATCAATGGTACCAGCTCCACGTGCATCGATCCCACTCTAAGCATCCTGTTATTATCGTCACTACCATATTAATAATCTACAGAATAAAATCCTTCAATCTTTAGTTTTGAGAATTAAAATAAATAAATAACTAACAACTTCCTACCATATTTAGTTAATAAATGGACTTTTATATACATATGCAAATATATCTCTATATATATAATCACTTCTTCCTAATATAGTACTACTGACCAGTGATTTAATTACAAATTAACATGAAGAGGAAATAAAACCAAATCCCTCACTGTTTTTGTTGTTGTTGTTAATTTTTAAATTAAAAGGAGGAAAGAAAAACAAACTAGTGCTTTAAAATGATCAAGAACACTAAAACATAACTTGAATTTATCTATACTGTGCTTCCGCTCTCAATTTATCATTTTTTTTAAGAAAAATTACGCACTTATGCGAGACTAATTTGCCTAGCTTTTTGAATATATATATATGTATGTATATATTAACCACCTTTTGCGAATAGGTTGTCTAATTTCTAGTTAAACGTCAAAATGCTTATAAAGGTTTGTTATTGAAATATTTAAAGAGAGGCGTCCATAGAATACTTGATACAATTAGGCAATTATTCAATTGGAGCATCTTCTCTTCCACGCAATAACTATTTAATGTAAGAGTTTCCACACTGCTTAGCGCACAAAAGAATTAATTTTTTTTGATACCAAACCGTATAAAACTGCTATCTTTTATGTACAGGAATAAAAGAAAAAGTCTCGAAGATCAGTATTTATATTCATATTAGGGAATTTCAACAGTCATTCAAGCTTTTAAATTTAATTTCAGCCAATCATTTTTCAAATATAAACTCAAGCTTAATTTATAGCCATTAAAAAAAAAAAAAGATTAAAGCTCTCGAACAAAACCGTTCAAGAGTTTTAAACTTTTAATACATCCTTGCTTAAATTTGATTTTTTTTTTTGCCTCTTTCAATACTATTTTGAAACTTATATCCTATCATTACAATGCCTAACAGAATTGAAAGAAGCGTTTAGGGTACTCAAAAACACTTAGTAACTATTGCGTATTATTGATTACTACTTTAAAACTCAAAGCTAAAATTTAAAAGCTTAAAAAACTCTTGAAACTCCCTATTCTTTACAGATATTTCAATAGCCTATAAATCCTTTTAAGAAGATGACTTGGTTTTTAAGTTTGTTGATAGAAAGATCTAAACCTTGAATCCTTCAAGATCTAAGTTTTAAACACCCTATTAAGGGGTTGCATTATCTTTTCAGATAAAAAATCAGGTAAAGATTCGGATAGCGTATGTTAAATATATAGCCAATTAAAGTGAATATAAAATGGAAATTATTGAGTCTCCACTTTTAATTAATCGTCTTATTCTTGTACCTGATATTTTATTATAAGCAAAAAAGTTATTTTCTATCACTTATATTGGGCATTTTTTTTTTATAAAAGTTGGTATATAAAGTAGAAATATGTAAGAGAGGCAAATAAATTGATGCCTTTTTGCTTAAAGTATTTCAAGACATTAAAATGAGCAATCCTCAATTTTCAATCCGAAAACTTTTTTTTTTTTTAGATTAAATCTATACATTTTAATTCTACTCAGATTCTTCTAAGCCAATAATTTTGCATTTTAAACATCCGCTTTAAGATTCCTAATCTGAACTTCTATCCAAAGAGATAATGAAACCCCCCTATTGTTTATTTATTTAATTTTTTTTTTCTTGAGTGTGAAATAAAATAAAAAATTAATCCCCAATTTTTCAATGTACGATGGTGTTACTCAAAATGTGCAGACATCAGTTTTTTTTTTGTGGGGAAATCTTATGGACAGCCTGAAAGTATGCGACATCACTCATAATAAGGAATTTAATGGCTATACATATTATTATTTTTTTGGGTCGGGGTCAGACTTTGCAGTAATCTTACGGTAACCACGTATCCTGGTGGGGCATGATATTTCTGTCTAACTAGATTAATCAATTCTGACTATATATCCGGAGACTGGCATCTTCCTCCAATCCTTCACGGCAAAATGGTGTGTCCTCAAAGAAATACAATATATTCAATGTACGCATTAGCTTTACTACTTTGTCCCTACATTTTGTGTTCATGAATCTCTCACCAGGCACCTAACTTTCATTATTTTAAGAGCCACAGTCTGTATTTAAGCAACTTAATAACAAGATCCTGTCTCATACGAAAAAAAAAACTGTATATTCAATTAGTGGCCCTAAATATAGACTTAACAACAAAGAAATAATGATTAATCCCAAAGGACTATAAGGAGTTGTTGTCATTAGATTGTGACGCAATCTTGTTTGATATCTTACTATTTATTGACCTGCTTATGCGTATCATGTTTTTGTCTTTCTTTCACCTACATATTCCCAGAGTTTGACAGCACCAGCTGGTAAGTAACCCCCACCCGCCTCTTTTTTTTTTTTTTTGAAAAGCACAAAAAAAAAGTCTTTATACGAATATTATGTATTTTTAGGAACCAGATAGACTTCTTCCGTGCCGGCAAAAAGGCCACAATTTGTGGTCTGGTAGAATAAAACAAATTGCTCAGTGAACAATTGACCAATCTCCCAATACAGACACCGGGACCTTTAATTTATGGCATAGGCAATTGTAAACAGTCTCTCTATCATTCGGCCGGAAATGCAGATAAAGTGAGTCTCCACATTTTATTCTCGTTTCTTAGGCTAAAAAATATTTTTCTCTCTTTAGGAAGCAAACTATATCGGCAATCTGGACTACTATTGCAACATTGAAAGCAAAAATGGTAAGTATGGGAGCCTTTTGGATAGCATTCCCTTGTTTTTTTCTTTGCTAACATACTTTTTTTATAAAAAGAAACTGACTCCAGCTACATAACTGCTGGGCTTGATGTGTTGAGTGCATACAGTACTACTGTGGCTAACATGGCCATCTAAATTGGAAAAAGAAACGTAATACCATCAAGCAGTAGCAATAGCAATAGCAGCAGCTCCTATTGAGGTATTCGGAATTGATTTTGGGTTAGTATCTCAATAATGGGAAAAGTAGATACTGTGAGAGTGTTATTTATTAAAGAGACAAAATAATATTGTTTATATCTGTTACTATTAAAATCCCTGTGATTCAATTCCCTGTTGTGTAATGGTTGGTTTACACTGTATGAGTGTGTAGTGTACGTGTGCCTGGTGTGTAACAGTTCCGGAGATTGTTAACTTGCCAGGTTCATTAGCAAGAAGGAACCAGTGTTTGGTTGTGGGGTCTGTTCTTCACTCAATTGTGGTGTGTATACCACACCGTAGATATTCTTTTCAATTTTATCACGCATTTTCCTGTCTGCTAGCTTAAAGCTTACCTAAGCACTTAAAGCTAATTTTGCAGCCCCTCACCCCTACGTCTCATCAATAAAAATGTGAGGTATCCCACATTCACCTACAAAAAAACCAAACGCACATTGAACATTACAACTATGCTAGTAACATTATATCAAAGTGTTAAAGCTGGTACGGTGAGAATGGTTGTAGGGGGTATAAACACACAGTTATTTTTCAGTCTGGCAATCAACTCGCAGCAAGGTTAGATGGAAATACTGTCGTCTCTAATTACTTTATTATGAACAACGTTGCCATAAATACATCTAAACTTATAAGAGATTACTTACACAGCCGCACAAACCACATGTGTCCTATCCTTCCCTTATATCGCCCATTCTTGAAAACCGTAAAGATTTTTTTTTCAGAATTAAAAGGTTTGGCTAGAAGAATGCCCAGGGTTTCTGCTGATAGAGATACAAAACATATTAATGATTGCAGTTCATTTTTTTTTGACAATTTATGAAGTTTGGGGTAATAATAAGCCCAGTTATCTTTTATAATATAAATTAAATCACTTTTTGAAGGGTGGACTTTTTCGATTTTTTTTAGCATTTTATTGATCTGCGCCCAGTTTTTAAAATTCTATAGAAGTGGACTTAATTGAACAGATACGAGAGAGAGAGAGAGAGAGAGAGAAGATAAGATAGAGAAAATAAGAAAATGTCCAAAAAAAAGCTGAGACAGATAGAAGAGAGGAGAGAGGAGTAACCAAGAAATAATTGCAGTGTTACGCTGTGTTTTTCTATTATAGTGAACGCTTTTTGTGCCCCAACTCCACAAAGAAAGGGTTAGCCATCAAAAACAAACTTCCAATTAGCACCCAATACGGATTTAGTAGTGATAACGTAAAGGAGAATATGGAGGGTTTGATTGAAGGAGAGTGGTGGGAAGGTGTCTTTGATAAGGCCTTTCCAAATTTAACCTGTAAACTACTTTAAGAAATTGATTTGATTTTTTCACTTATGAATTTAGAACTCTATATTATTAAAGAAAAAATAGTAATAATTCATGTCATTTTTATGAATTATAGTTAATGACATTATTTTCTAGCAAGAAAAAAGCTGCAGGGAAATTATTGGCTACTGGCTATTGGAAAATGAAATAAACGGTAAATTTGGGCCTGAATTTTATATAATCTAACACTTCTACAGTCATAGCAATGACTCTGGGAAGCCTAGTGAACCAATTGCTATATATTTACAACGACTCTTCTGATATATGGTATTTAAGCCAATATAATATTAAGTTTCCAATTCAATTTTCACTGTCAAGAGCTAAAATCTTTAGATTAACAGTTTTTAATCAATAGAACCTTCAAGATCAGCAAGATGTCTAAAGTACTCCAGACCAAAAACAGTTACATTTATCCCTATACTCCGTTATAGATATATTTTAACAAAAGCAAGGAAAGAGACAAAGGTAAAGACAGTCAACCATATTATTTTTAATAATATTTTTAAAGACTAATAGGTTTTTATATTTTTTAAAAAAAAAGAGACAAGAATATAAATATAATATCAAAGAAAAACAAGGGAAAATTTTATTGTTCAAAGTAAATGATTTTTGTGTACAAAGATTTTTACAAATTAAATACAAATTAAATTAAATTAAATTAAATAGAATATAAGATAGTCAAGTCCATGATAGTCCAGTCCAGCCCAGTCCAGTCCGGTTTTTTTTGAGAAATATTTCATTCGCTTTGCAAGTATATATGTAAAGAGGATTTTGCAGCTTATTGTAATAGAGAGTCTTGGTCCAATCCGGAGCGTCGCCTCGATCCAGAGCCAGGTTCCAATGCAGTGTTCCTTCAGTTTTGATTTGATTTGATTTGATTTGATTTGATTTGATTTGATTTGATTTGATTTGATTTGATTTGATTTGGTTTGATTTGATTTGATTTGATTTGATTTGAGTTGATTTGATTTGATTTGAGTTGATTTGAATTGTAAATGTGAGGTAAGCACCACAATAGAGTGAAGAACAGACTCCACTACCAAACACTGATTCCTTCTTGCGAATAAATCTGGCAAATTAACCATCTCCGGAACTATTACATACCAGGCACACGTACAATACCCACTTATACAATGTACTAACCATCATACAACAAGGATAAGAATTAAAAAAGATTTGAATAGTCAAATATAAACAATATTACCTTGTCTCTCTAATAAATAACACTCTCAAAGTATCTCAATATTTTGAAGAGTGGATACTTTGAGAGTGTTACTTATTAGAGAGACAAGGTAATATTGTTCATATCTGTTACCATTCAAACCCCTTGGAATTCAGATCCCTGTTGTATAATGGTTGGTTTCCACGGTATAAATGTGTAGTGCACGTGTGCCTGGTATGTAATAGTTCCGGAGATGGCTAACGTGCCAGGTTCATAGGCAAGATGGAACCAGTGGTTGGTAGTGGAGTCTGTTCTTCACTCTATTGTAGTGTGCGTGCCACAGCCAACAGGACTTAGGATGATGCCTGAGATTTGAATTTGCCATTGGAAGAAATAATTTTTGTTTGGAACTTGCATTGGACCCCTGCTTGGAAATTGGCTTGGCCTTGAGATTTGGAAGTATAACCCAGATTTTGAACTTGATAGAAATTATGCTTGTATGTATGTATGTTCTAGGACTAGTACTCTAGCAGTACGTGGACATTGTTTGGCCATTTGGAAAGGAATTGGACTTGGACATGGACTTGGACATGGACATAGAAATGGACCTTGACTTGACTATTTTGGATATTGTGCTAGTATATATAAATTTTGACTTGATAAAGATAATTATGAGTACACTTTTTTTTTGAATTTTTTCCCTTGTTTTTCTTTTTTTTTTTTTGACTAGATATTTTGATTTGATTTTGGACTTTGTCCCTGATCATGACCACATCTTGGTCCTGTGCTGTTGACCGGTTTGGCCTTTTCTTTGGCGCCCCTTGTTGGGCTTCTGGTGAGCCGGATTGGCTTTTGACCTGGCGCGCATCTTGGGCCTTTGCTGTTGACCGGTTTGGCCTTTTCTTTGGCGCCCCTTGTTGGGCTTGTGGTAGGCCGGATTGGCCTCTGGCCTGGCGCGCATCTTGGGCCTTTGCTGTTGGCCGGTTTGGCCTTTTCTCTTGCGCCCCTTGTTGGGCTTCTGGTGAGCCGTATCGGCTTTTGACGACGTGCCCAAAAGGCATGCGATAGCCAACAATTTTGTGGCAGGAATGGAACCATTTTGTTCCGCCGTAGAGGCAAATTGATTGTTGATAGAAGCAACAGGAAGCAACAGACCCGCCAGTGGGATAAATGGCTCCTACCAGTGATATAAATGGACCCGCCAGTGGAAATAATAAATTGGCCAGAAAAATAAATGGTGCCAACAATGGAAGAAAAATGGGCAGTTGGCCGTAATATAAAAAGACCTATCTGCGGAAGATAATAGGTCCACTGGCGAGAGATAACAGGTCCACTGGTAGGAGGAAAGGGCCTACCAGTGGGAAGCAACAAACCCACTGGCGGAAGCAACAGACTAACAAAAAAGCAACAAGCAGCAGTACCTTTGAAATAACATAAACCGCCGTGGAAGGCATAATAAAGCAACAAGCAACGGGAGGTAACAAGCAACGGGAACTAACCAAAAAGATACCAGCCGCGCCCACCAGAAGAGAGGACAGAAAGCAACCAGTAATACATGGGAATACGGACAACGGGCTCACACGCTACACGCGCGCTTTGGGACTTGCTCGATAGACCATGGTTGACCCGTGGCTACTACTCCATCGGGTCCTTTTGGAAGAAAGAAAGAAAAAGAGAGAGCGGTCGGTCGCAAGAGTCCAAAATCGGTTCAACAAGCTCAACAAAATAATATTGCCAAGTCTTTATGAACGTCTTTTGAACTCTTACAGTCGCCAACTCCACAGGCTATGATTAATTAGTATTCAAAGTTTCATTGCGCGTAGAATGTAAATACATATACTTATCTTAAAATGCCTGGACTACCCATTCATGACAAGAAAGAAACTCATGGCTATCGGAAGACCATCTTGGCTTCTGTGTATTAACGATGACCGGCCGGACACAAACCCATGTATTACCAGAAGCCTTCCATCGACCCCTCCAGTAGACGCGGCTAGTACAAAGAAAAAGGAAAAAAAAGAAAACCAAAGTTTGCAAAAATTGCTCTATACTTATAGAAAAAAAGACAGGGAGATATTGAGACTGCTCTAGATTTGGTCTAACAAAATCTATTGAAAATGCTTATCAATGGCATGTTGTGCCAAGAATGAATGCACGCTGCATAGTGCTGATCAAGTTGGACATCTATTTTTGTGAGTCTACACATATTCTTCAAGGAAAAGACCTGATTATAACTGTATACACACAAGTTGAAAAAACAAAAACATATAAATTCTTTTAAAACATAACACTGGCCTTGCTTTTCCAACCCTCAAACTGGAGCTCATACTCTTGCTATATGTAGTGCTATGCTATAGTATTTTATAAAAGTATTCACCGTTTAATAAAGGCCAGGCCTTAGAAGATTGATAGATAAAGCAAAGCTGTTGTGATGTACATAATAGGGGGGGTTATGCAGACAATCAAAATAAATACATACTAGGCAACTAAAGAAAAAAATACAAATTTATGCATGCATATATTACAAGTTTCATAAATATATTTCTCACTCTCTTTGCTTCCTTTCAAAGATTATCAAATTACTCATAAAGCTACTGAATCAGACATATTAAGACAAGAAGTATTTGGTAAAGAATATAAAATTGTACAAAATATAAAAGAAATAGCTGTAGTTATCAAAAGAAATAATTTGAAGCATCTTGATAATGTGCTTCTGCTGATCAAAAAAAAAAGAAAAAGAAAAAGGAAATCCAAGAATACGCCTTGTAATTTGATCACCTGCATGTGAATTGATAAGCCCATTTATAAATAATATCTTTCTCTGAATTTTTTTTTAAATAAATTGTCGTGTATCTACAAACAAATTCTTTGATAGTTTGTCTAGCAAAAAATTGTAATAATACACACATTTATATATATCTTTGTATCTATATGTAGCTCACACAATTCTCTTATAATCACACTTGTAGAATATGACCTATAGCTTATGGCTCATAAAATAGAATAAAATAAAATCTCAAAGCTAGTGCTTTAATATTGGGGTTCTTTTGCAAATACAAGGCCAAGTGGGTATACAAGTAGTTTTTATTCTGCTCACGTATAAAAGACAAATGGTTATATTTTGTTCTTTTTTTAATAGAAAAAGAAAAGACATTGTATGTATAGCCGAATAATATTTATGTAACAATAATTCTTCTCTTTGTGACAATGTAAATTGTTTATAAATCTTGTACTTGTATTTGCTATAGCTAGTATTACTAACTGTATTTTACACAAATAAATATATATTATTTTATTTACCACTAAAAAATATGTTCGAATCTAAGTACTGTTTTCTTTTGTCTAGTAAATACGTGGACTTGAGTCTTTGGAACATTCATAGGAGACTTTGGCCAAGCCAATTTTGCTGGTTAGTTGAATGGCAAGTACCTTTATTATTCAATTATAATAATAAGCTACATATCAGAAAAATGGACTTTTTCAAAGATAAGCGAGCAATTTGTATTGATAGCATCTATAGGTTCTAGTAAGATAAAAGGGTAAAATCCTGTGAGCAGTCATAATATGAACAGTGTACGCAGATACCAGCTTTAAACAATATTGAAGGACTTTCTACTTGTATTTCTCATATACCGTATTAAAAATGAGAAATTTAATATGAAAGAAGAAAGAAAGAAAGATGATATAATAAGCATAGATAAGCTAAAATTCTTGATTTACAAAATACAATTAGATACTCTTTTAATATCTAAAAAGTAAATATATATAATATATTGCATATAGTACCAGACGTAACCGTAAAAGAACAGGCATAGCCGTAATTTCCATCGAATTAGATTATTATGGCCGAGTTTTTGTTGCTTAAACTTCATGCGTACAGATAATTGCGAATGCTAATGCAAAAAGAATGGAAAAGATAATAAAAAAGGTAAGAGAAGGAAAAAGACAACCGCAGCCAAGGATCAATTTAATTTGGAAGCACAAAGGAATAGGCATTGGCTTGTGTAGCTATTATGCGTGAGTAGTTTTACTTAAAGGCAGCCAAGTAAAATAAGTTTCTTATTTGATCCATACTCTCTGATGGAGCACAGTATTGAACGATTTTATCTGAGCCAATTGAAGAAAGAGTGCATGGGGGTCGTTCCAAAGTTGATAGGTAGAAGAATTGAAACATCTAGCTGAAGGTGCTACTGGTGTATACTGGATAGTTATTTTTTGTGTTTATAAAGAGAAAGTAATGGAGTCGGTTGTGTGAGTGAGAGTAGCTCTATAAAGTTGACACATTGCGTGTATATTCACATTTTTGACTGACCAAAGCATATAATATATTTCTATTTCTTTCTCTTATCTATTATTAATTATCCAAAGAAGCATAGTTTATTCTGACATCTTAGCAATAGCTTAGTAATATCTTACCGAAAATAATATTTTATTAATTATCAAAATATTTATACAAACATCGAAAGATGAAAGCAATAAAGACCATCCTTAAACATCACTTATATTTTCTTTTTCCAAAACGAAAAACGGTCAATTGCCAATATTTGAGCTAATAAGCTGTTAGAGAAGATCGATATATATTCTTTTTTTTCTGTTAGCCGTCTGGGCCACTTCTTTACATAAACTAGCACAGCTCGTCTCATCTGCATTATCAAATATATTAAAGAGCAATAAACACTCTTTTACACACAAACCCAATTTTGGTAAATGTCTAGGCAGAATTCTTTTTTTTTAAAAGCTTTTTATTCATCCTATTTTTCTTGTAGCCATATATAATAAAGCTAATCTTTTTGAAGAGAAGTATATTGGTTTAAAGTTTCTTATAACTACATTAATCTATTAATTATATTATATGCACTATATTTCACGCACTTACCAAAGACAACTTCTCTCTAAAAAGGACTTCGAGATAATTCAACCATACCTTGTAGATCAACACTTTGAGCTCTCATATAAATCTCTTTTACGATTCCCAGATTTTGATTTATTTCAAGAGCATCATAATCCCCGTAATGCTCTATAGGATGTAAATACAAACCCTGTATACACCAAAAATGTCACAACAGTCCATTATATGTTATCTCTTTCCAGTACCAAGTAGTGTAAGCACTGGTGTAATATAATACACATTTCTCTTATACTGAATATAATATGTTCATGACGTTTTGCTTACCAATACCAAAGGATTCAAGACACTTTAAAAACAGACTCATGCACTTGTCTCAGTCAATGCTTCCCCCTGATAATATAAAAGATCTAATTCCCTCTATTTAGAAAAAGAAATAAAAATATCAAATGATCCACAAGTCCTTGACAAACTTGAGTATATTTATGGTGCGGGTACTTTTACACCGTTCACCTTTCACTACAAAACCCTTTGATTTTCCTAGTATTATTTGATATCAGAAGCCTCATCCTAACTTATCGGACAATATACACTCCACTAGTCTATTATCCAATACACTTTACCATATCACAAGCATAGCCAGTTTTCCTTGTTCCTGTCAATCAGATCCGATCTTCGTACCGTAGGATAATATCCAGAAACCAAGCAAAACCAAATACTTACAAAACAAGGCCATGTAAAACCCCACCTATGCTAACCCCTAATATTGTACCACAAGGAGCATGAGTGATATCCTGTAAAATGAGCGCTGAAAGCTGTTATTACTCGTTTGATCGCCATTGAAGTGCTTTCAATATGTGACAAGGTCATTAAATACTTTTCTCTCTAGATTATTTCATGACATTAGTGGCTTTTATAAAATAATGAGAAATCGATAAATAGCTGTATATGTATTGTTACTCTTTTTGATTATTAACCCATAATTGGCCCTTTTAAAATAAACCTTCCAATTTCAATATATCGTACCTCTAAATATTTATGCTCAATGGGGTTATTCCCTAGACCTTGGGAAGAGCAGTTAATTAAAAAGGCTTGGTCACATAGTCGTCTTTTTGCCACTTTTGTGTCTGGTTCTATATGATAGGTAGAACAATCTTCTTGAAATATGAACCTCCTATAATGATATTTTTTAAAGGATATAATTCAAGGAATGAGATTCTGTGTCAAAGTATTAACATATTCGCCTTGATTCACAGCACCTTTAATAAAAACCAAAGGTCCTAGGAAATAGCCGGTAAAAACTTTTTCAGTTCAAAGACAACTCGAACGTATAACAATATCGTTTCTTTGACTTTATTTTTAGAGCTATATACCTTTGTTCATATGTCTTGCCGACTTTTTTGACAAGTTGTGAATTTTCATCTTGATCCATCAGACCCAATTGTGGTTCTTCATTCTCCATTTGTCCAATTAACATGAGCTTTGGGTCATTGTAGTAAGCTTTTTTTTGCGTGTGCGTATGCGTGTGTGTTGTCAAAATTAGCTTGAGGACTGTAAAATAGAAACCGATGCGAAATACTTGAGAGAGTTGATTGCTGACAATTTACAAACTGTAATCATTGTTTCCTTTAATCCCAATCTCAGATTCTAATAGGAAATACATGGAGTCTTTTATTCAATCTACAAAAGATGTCTCTCATTTGTGTATCTGGTGTATTTTTATTCTTTCTTTCTTTTGTTTGTTCATTTGTTGTTGTTTTTTGGGTGTTGGTTAGGACTTGATACGAGAAATGTGGTCAGACTATCTTTTGCAAAATGAAAAAAAAAAAAGTAAATTTTTACAATCTGTCTTTAATCTCATCAGCTTTTATTATAAAGGAGAATGACTGGTTCCTGACGTAGACGGTATTTTATGCTGAGATCGATTAACAAGAAGACGACACTGATAATTTCTTTTTTTCTTAATTTTATAATTTACCTGAGATCGAAACACCTTTTGACCACTAAAGGTGTATGTGTTGCTTAATAAACCTTTTAATACATAGTGAATTCTCTGTCTATGCGCTACACAGAAACTATGTAGCCCTATACTAATGATAATGATAATGACAATGACAATGATATTAATGATAATACTGGTAATGATATTAATGATAAGACTAATGGTAATAATGGTAATGAGAATAATGATAAGACTAATGGTAATACTGGTAATGATATTAATGATAGTACTAATGATAATAATGGTAATGAGAATAATGATAAGACTAATGATAATACTAGTAATGATATTAATGATAATACTAATGGTAATAATGATAATATTACTAATGATAATAGTACAAGTTTTGGATACTATATATTTATAATAATTTTAATTTCCTTTTGACTTTTCCCCATCCTCTCTTTTTCTGGTTCCCTTTTCAGTTTCAATTTCAGATTTGGATTTTGCCATGACTTTGGATTTGACCTTGACTTTAGCTTTGACTTTGTCTTTGCTAATTGTTAGGTTTAGTAGTCTTTTGTTTTGTTTTTTAATTTGAGTAGTTAATGTTTTGGTTTAGTGGTTAATGTTTATGTTAGTATGGTTAGTTCCCGTTGCTTGTTAGTAGCTGTTGCTTGTTAGTATCTGTTGCTTATTAGTATCTGTTGCTTCCTGTTGTTTTTGATGAGTATTAAAACATTTTTTATGGTTATATCTTGTCTTACTCCCAAGAGAAGAACTTTTTAATAGCGCCTACTACAGATACAACACTAGACGTAATAATTTGTGTTGTATCTGCAGCAATGTTCATCACCTTGGTGTATGTGTTATCAGGAGTAATTGCTGATGATGACTCTGATGTTTCTAATGATTCTGATGTCTCTGATGATGACAATGCTTGAAACACAGAGAGAGATGTTTCTGGCTCAGGAGATGGAGAGCGAGAGGATGGAGGTGACGGAGAAGGTGATGGAGATGGTGAGGTAGAGAAGAATCCAGATGAAGAACTGGTGACAATTCGTGAGGAGGAGCGGGTGAGAGAACGAACGGGAGGGGTTACAGGAGCAGGAGCAGGAGCAGAAGCAGAAGCAGAAGCAGAAGCAGAAGCAGACACTGGAGCAGGGACAGGGACAGGAGCAAGAACAGACGTGGTAGGCATGTTGCAGTATGAGGGCAAAGGGTCATTGATTTGACCCGTCATACTGATCACTCCTCTTATTTGTAGTTCAAAGACTACGTGCCTGACCAATCTCAGGCTCCTCTTAAGAGCCACCCGCCGGGCAGGGCTCGTGGACAACAGGAATCCACGAGGTCCCCTCCCAGCGGGTCTTCTCAACGCCCGAATGGTGACCACCTCCAGGCGCTTGGCCATATGGGCCGTGGAGGTGAAGTCCTTCGGACAAGGACGCTTAGTTCCTCTAGGAACTACTATAGAATAATACAATATAAAAGAAAAACATTAGAGATGTGCAAAATTAAATTAAATAAAATACACTTTTTCCAGAAACTATTAGTGCATCAAAACGATTTTTATCTCTGCACAAATAATTTCCTGAAAGAGTGTATGAAATAATTACCTTGGGTCTCACCCGACCCACCAAACACCTCAGGAGAGGTCACTTGGGTCGCAACAAACCCACCGGTAGAAGAGACACCAATCGCCCCAAGAGGGCTCTTTGCGCTCGCACGAAGAGCGCGACGGACGGACTGGGCAGGGTATGGCTGGTAGCGGGAGGCTTTAGCACGCTTGGGAGCGGCAAAGGAAAGGTTGGTGAGAGCTGTGAAGCGTGGCATTGTATAAAACAAGCGATGAAAAATGGGTACAAGGAGAAAATCAAGCGCGAAGAGATTTCTCTTTCTTTTATAGTTTTATTTTTCTTATCAGACAAGAATTCCACGTAAGCATTCCAATCAATATATTGGTATCTACACGGAAACTAAGGAGTGCATTCATATGGTTTTTAGTTTATTTTTTATCTCTTTGATAAGCCATAAAGATTTTCAAAACAAAGTGACATATTCCTTTAACAAAAATTGATATTATTATTTTCTTTTTACACATTATATATATATATATTAAAGAGCTTACTGTCTGGAAAGAACATATTCAAATCACTGTGAACTTCTCTTAATCATACTCTTGTATGTTTGAAAGTAAAAGGGCATAAATCAGCACATAAAATATATTGTAATGTTTTTCTTGTGAAAAGGGATTTTCTCTTTAGAAAATAAGGAATACATGATAAGCCAAATTCTATTTATCTGTATTTGGTTTACAAGAATTTGATAATCTTTGCGTACTTAATGGCACGATTTAGTATTTATTTTATCTCAAACATACACTTTCTTTGAGAAAGACCTCTTCAGAGAAAAAAGAAGGCTTTATATTATATTGATTGTATTAAATAATCTTTTCTGTTAAGCTAAAGATTATATATAGTATCTACCTTTTGATAAAAGTATTTGGCTAGAAGTCTCTATTTCTTCTACAGAATAGATATATGCCTTGTTTACAAAAAATTAGTATTTGTGAAGATTTCATATGATTGTGATTATTTCTAGTATATATTGTTATGCAAAAAGACTATCTATTTGCATAAATTGAAAAACGATGTCCATAAATTATAAAGTAAATAAATAGAAAGAACTATCATGTCATCTGAATTTATGCTTCAATTCTATGAACCTCAGTATATCTCTCTTGACCAGCCCAATGGTTAAAATATTTTCAAAGAAATAGTAATAATAATGCTATATATTTGATATATTAAATACAGTTTTCTTGCTTTAAATAAAGTATATAGATAAAGAGCAAGTGAGCGTTAGATAGTCAAACGCTCTTTTAGCTTAAAGAATGTTCGTAAGTAATGATACTACTTGTATGCATATTTTCGGAATTACTCTTTGATGTGCGCCGATGTAAATCGGTTTTGATATTTTTATTTTATACTCAATCAACCCGATTTGTACAGGTGCATAATAGTGCAGATCTAATAAGGAGCTTACAATCCTGATAAATACACCTCAGAAATCATTAAAAAATATATGTATTCTTTAAGGAAATACTATCATATCAAGCTGTGTCAAGCCCATGAAAAGTTATAGCATCTACCTTTATGACCTTTAGATATAGCTTACCAAATTGCAGTCTTGGTTATCTTGAAACAGACAGTTACATATATAAAGTCTAATCAATATACGAGAAACAACAGAAATGCCTTCTTTTGCCAGTCCTACCAAATTTTAGAAATATAAACCCATTGTTATGATACAAGAAATTACGGCAGATTGACTTGAAAAATGTAACTGAAAATATATCCTGGTAGATACTGCGTATTATATGTGCTGATAATCGCAATAAAATTAAAAATACAATTAAAAAACACTCTAGCACATAATGTATATCAAGTCATTAATTTATATTATATAAAGGATTGTAATTCTTATATGTATATCTACTTGGCTTTGTATTTGCAAAAGAACCCCAATATTAAAGCACTAGCTTTGAGATTTTATTTTATTCTATTTTATGAGCCATAAGCTATAGGTCATATTCTACAAGTGTGATTATAAGAGAATTGTGTGAGCTACATATAGATACAAATATATATATAAATGTGTGTATTATTACAATTTTTGCTAGATAAACTATCAAAGAATTTGTTTATAGATACACGACAATTTATTTTAAAAAAAAAATTCAGAGAAAGATATTATTTATAAATGGGCTTATCAATTCACATGCAGGTGATCAAATTACAAGGCGTATTCTTGGATTTCCTTTTTCTTTTTCTTTTTTTTTTGATCAGCAGAAGCACATTATCAAGATGCTTCAAATTATTTCTTTTGATAACTACAGCTATTTCTTTTATATTTTGTACAATTTTATATTCTTTACCAAATACTTCTTGTCTTAATGTGTCTGATTCAGTAGCTTTATGAGTAATTTGATAATCTTTGAAAGGAAGCAAAGAGAGTGAGAAATATATTTATGAAACTTGTAATATATGCATGCATAAATTTGTATTTTTTTCTTTAGTTGCCTAGTATGTATTTATTTTGATTGTCTGCATAACCCCCCCTATTATGTACATCACAACAGCTTTGCTTTATCTATCAATCTTCTAAGGCCTGGCCTTTATTAAACGGTGAATACTTTTATAAAATACTATAGCATAGCACTACATATAGCAAGAGTATGAGCTCCAGTTTGAGGGTTGGAAAAGCAAGGCCAGTGTTATGTTTTAAAAGAATTTATATGTTTTTGTTTTTTCAACTTGTGTGTATACAGTTATAATCAGGTCTTTTCCTTGAAGAATATGTGTAGACTCACAAAAATAGATGTCCAACTTGATCAGCACTATGCAGCGTGCATTCATTCTTGGCACAACATGCCATTGATAAGCATTTTCAATAGATTTTGTTAGACCAAATCTAGAGCAGTCTCAATATCTCCCTGTCTTTTTTTCTATAAGTATAGAGCAATTTTTGCAAACTTTGGTTTTCTTTTTTTTCCTTTTTCTTTGTACTAGCCGCGTCTACTGGAGGGGTCGATGGAAGGCTTCTGGTAATACATGGGTTTGTGTCCGGCCGGTCATCGTTAATACACAGAAGCCAAGATGGTCTTCCGATAGCCATGAGTTTCTTTCTTGTCATGAATGGGTAGTCCAGGCATTTTAAGATAAGTATATGTATTTACATTCTACGCGCAATGAAACTTTGAATACTAATTAATCATAGCCTGTGGAGTTGGCGACTGTAAGAGTTCAAAAGACGTTCATAAAGACTTGGCAATATTATTTTGTTGAGCTTGTTGAACCGATTTTGGACTCTTGCGACCGACCGCTCTCTCTTTTTCTTTCTTTCTTCCAAAAGGACCCGATGGAGTAGTAGCCACGGGTCAACCATGGTCTATCGAGCAAGTCCCAAAGCGCGCGTGTAGCGTGTGAGCCCGTTGTCCGTATTCCCATGTATTACTGGTTGCTTTCTGTCCTCTCTTCTGGTGGGCGCGGCTGGTATCTTTTTGGTTAGTTCCCGTTGCTTGTTACCTCCCGTTGCTTGTTGCTTTATTATGCCTTCCACGGCGGTTTATGTTATTTCAAAGGTACTGTTGCTTGTTGCTTTTTTGTTAGTCTGTTGCTTCCGCCAGTGGGGTCTTTCTGCCAGTGGGTTTGTTGCTTCCCACTGGTAGGCCCTTTCCTCCTACCAGTGGACCTGTTATCTCTCGCCAGTGGACCTATTATCTTCCGCAGATAGGTCTTTTTATATTACGGCCAACTGCCCATTTTTCTTCCATTGTTGGCACCATTTATTTTTCTGGCCAATTTATTATTTCCACTGGCGGGTCCATTTATATCACTGGTAGGAGCCATTTATCCCACTGGCGGGTCTGTTGCTTCCTGTTGCTTCTATCAACAATCAATTTGCCTCTACGGCGGAACAAAATGGTTCCATTCCTGCCACAAAATTGTTGGCTATCGCATGCCTTTTGGGCACGTCGTCAAAAGCCGATACGGCTCACCAGAAGCCCAACAAGGGGCGCAAGAGAAAAGGCCAAACCGGCCAACAGCACTGGCCCAAGATGCGCGCCAGGTCAGAGGCCAATCCGACCCACCACAAGCCCAACAAGGGGCACCAGAGAAAAGGCCAAACCGGTCAACAGCAAAGGCCCAAGATGCGCGCCAGGTCAAAAGCCAATCCGGCCCACCACAAGCCCAACAAGGGGCACCAGAGAAAAGGCCAAACCGGCCAACAGCAAAGGCCCAAGATGCGCGCCAGGTCAGAGGCCAATCCGGCCTACCACAAGCCCAACAAGGGGCGCCAAAGAAAAGGCCAAACCGGTCAACAGCACAGGACCAAGATGTGGTCAAGATCAGGGACAAAGTCCAAAATCAAATCAAAATATCTAGTCAAAAAAAAAAAGAAAAACAAGGGAAAAAATTCAAAAAAAATTGTACTCATAATTATCTTTATCAAGTCAAAATTTATATATACTAGCACAATATCCAAAATAGTCAAGTCAAGGTCCATTTCTATGTCCATGTCCAAGTCCATGTCCAAGTCCAATTCCTTTCCAAATGGCCAAACAATGTCCACGTACTGCTAGAGTACTAGTCCTAGAACATACATACATACAAGCATAATTTCTATCAAGTTCAAAATCTGGGTTATACTTCCAAATCTCAAGGCCAAGCCAATTTCCAAGCAGGGGTCCAATGCAAGTTCCAAACAAAAATTATTTCTTCCAATGGCAAATTCAAATCTCAGGCATCATCCTAAGTCCTGTTGGCTGTGGCACGCACACTACAATAGAGTGAAGAACAGACTCCACTACCAACCACTGGTTCCATCTTGCCTATGAACCTGGCACGTTAGCCATCTCCGGAACTATTACATACCAGGCACACGTGCACTACACATTTATACCGTGGAAACCAACCATTATACAACAGGGATCTGAATTCCAAGGGGTTTGAATGGTAACAGATATGAACAATATTACCTTGTCTCTCTAATAAGTAACACTCTCAAAGTATCCACTCTTCAAAATATTGAGATACTTTGAGAGTGTTATTTATTAGAGAGACAAGGTAATATTGTTTATATTTGACTATTCAAATCTTTTTTAATTCTTATCCTTGTTGTATGATGGTTAGTACATTGTATAAGTGGGTATTGTACGTGTGCCTGGTATGTAATAGTTCCGGAGATGGTTAATTTGCCAGATTTATTCGCAAGAAGGAATCAGTGTTTGGTAGTGGAGTCTGTTCTTCACTCTATTGTGGTGCTTACCTCACATTTACAATTCAAATCAACTCAAATCAAATCAAATCAACTCAAATCAAATCAAATCAAATCAAACCAAATCAAATCAAATCAAATCAAATCAAATCAAATCAAATCAAATCAAATCAAATCAAATCAAATCAAATCAAAACTGAAGGAACACTGCATTGGAACCTGGCTCTGGATCGAGGCGACGCTCCGGATTGGACCAAGACTCTCTATTACAATAAGCTGCAAAATCCTCTTTACATATATACTTGCAAAGCGAATGAAATATTTCTCAAAAAAAACCGGACTGGACTGGGCTGGACTGGACTATCATGGACTTGACTATCTTATATTCTATTTAATTTAATTTAATTTGTATTTAATTTGTAAAAATCTTTGTACACAAAAATCATTTGCTTTGAACAATAAAAATTTCCCTTGTTTTTCTTTGATATTATATTTATATTCTCGTCTCTTTTTTTTAAAAAATATAAAAACCTATTAGTCTTTAAAAATATTATTAAAAATAATATGGTTGACTGTCTTTACCTTTGTCTCTTTCCTTGCTTTTGTTAAAATATATCTATAACGGAGTATAGAGATAAATGTAACTGAACTGCTAGACCAAAAAAAAAAGAGTTCATGAGATATATGCAAAAAGACGTATAGCCCTTAGAGCCGCCATGTAAGGAAAAGACAGCATAATGGTTTGGAACTGTTTTTGGTCCGGAGTACTTTAGACATCTTGCTGATCTTGAAGGTTCTATTGATTAAAAACTGTTAATCTAAAGACTTTAGCTCTTGACAGTGAAAATTGAATTGGAAACTTAATATTATATTGGCTTAAATACCATATATCAAAAGAGTCGTTGTAAATATATAGCAATTGGTTCACTAGGCTTCCCAGAGTCATTGCTATGACTGTAGAAGTGTTACATTATATAAAAGTCAGGCACAAATTTACCATTTATTTCATTTTCCAATAGCCAGTAGCCAATAATTTCCCTGCAGCTTTTTTCTTGCTAGAAAATAATGTCATTAACTATAATTCATAAAAATGACATGAATTATTACTATTTTTTCTTTAATAATATAGAGTTCTAAATTCATAAGTGAAAAAATCAAATCAATTTCTTAAAGTAGTTTACAGGTTAAATTTGGAAAGGCCTTATCAAAGACACCTTCCCACCACGCTCCTTCAATCAAACCCTCCATATTCTCCTTTACGTTATCACTACTAAATCCGTATTGGGTGCTAATTGGAAGTTTGTTTTTGATGGCTAACCCTTTCTTTGTGGAGTTGGGGGCACAAAAAGCGTTCACTATAATAGAAAAACACAGCGTAACACTGCAATTATTTCTTGGTTACTCCTCTCTCCTCTCTTCTATCTGTCTCAGCTTTTTTTTTGGACATTTTCTTATTTTCTCTATCTTATCTTCTCTCTCTCTCTCGTATCTGTTCAATTAAGTCCACTTCTATAGAATTTTAAAAACTGGGCGCAGATCAATAAAATGCTAAAAAAAATCGAAAAAGTCCACCCTTCAAAAAGTGATTTAATTTATATTATAAAAGATAACTGGGCTTATTATTACCCCAAACTTCATAAATTGTCAAAAAAAAATGAACTGCAATCATTAATATGTTTTGTATTTCTATCAGCAGAAACCCTGGGCATTCTTCTAGCCAAACCTTTTAATTCTGAAAAAAAATCTTTACGGTTTTCAAGAATGGGCGATATAAGGGAAGGATAGGACACATGTGGTTTGTGCGGCTGTGTAAGTAATCTCTTATAAGTTTAGATGTATTTATGGCAACGTTGTTCATAATAAAGTAATTAGAGACGACAGTATTTCCATCTAACCTTGCTGCGAGTTGATTGCCAGACTGAAAAATAACTGTGTGTTTATACCACCTACAACCATTCTCACCGTACCAGCTTTAACACTTTGATATAATGTTACTAGCATAGTTGTAATGTTCAATGTGTATTTGGTTTTTTTTAGGTGAAGGTGGGATACCTCACATTTTTATTGATGAGACGTAGGGGTGAGGGGCTGCAAAATTAGCTTTAAGTGCTTAGGTAAGCTCTAAGCTAGCAGACAGGAAAATGCGTGATAAAATTGAAAAGAATATCTACGGTGTGGTATACACACCACAATTGAGTGAAGAACAGACCCCACAACCAAACACTGGTTCCTTCTTGCTAATGAACCTGGCAAGTTAACAATCTCCGGAACTGTTACACACCAGGCACACGTACACTACACACTCATACAGTGTAAACCAACCACTACACAACAGGGAATTGAATCACAGGGATTTTAATAGTAACAGATATAAACAATATTATTTTGTCTCTTTAATAAATAACACTCTTACAGTATCTACTTTTCCCATTATTGAGATACTAACCCATAAACAATCCCGAATACCTCAATTTGGTTTAACGAATCCTTCAGCAATTTAGCAAGCTTGAAGAAATCACCGGACATGCTACGACCACAACGCTTGGCCTCTAAGGTCAGAAGAAGGTGTTTCTCCCGGTTTGAGACTATACTAAAATCGGGACGCTTGTTATGGTTCACAAGAGAGGGGTCCATATTGGTAAATCGGGCAGATGAGGAAAAGCTCATGTTGTCTGCATTTAGGCACTTGATAATGGGAGAGTTTTTAAAGTACGCATCGATCATCACATTGATAGTATTGTGTACAAGTGTTGCCTCGTTGATTGGATGGATAGAGTAGTTCATACAATAGATTCTAGCGAAAGAAGATAACATGCATTTCAATTTTTTGAATCTTTCCTGCTGCTACATATCGTCCAAAATTCTGTCAACATGATCATAATTCAGCCTTCTCTGCTGCATATTATAGGCAAACTTCTGGCATAGACGAGACTCTTCTTCATCGGCATTGGGTATGTGGAAATAATCGACAGCTTCAATATCCTGCAAAACATCTTCAACATGTTCAAAAGGGAAGTAATGTTCTTCACAAATGCTATCATCAATCAGCATTATGCCACTAAGCGCCAATTCTTCATGTGTCTCCAGGTTTCGATGAGTTTTGGCCTTCTCAATACAGGTCTCTCGGTACTGCAGGAATGACTCGGAAACATTGAAACCTGATACTACCTTCCAGGATTTGGTGATTGACGGTACGGAAACATCATATACGCCTTCTGTAGTCGACAGGAAATCGAAAACGTCCCCGGCCTCTACTGACTGAGAATCATCTGATATGTCACCTTCATCAATGTATGAGTCAGTAGAGGTATCAGTGAAAGAGTTTGGTTGGCTTTCGTGCTGTTGGCTTGAAGAAACTGCTAAATCATCCAAGTGCTCTGGGGAATTTGCTGAGAATAACTCTTCCTGTAATCCATGGCTAGTTTTGACGTATTTCTTTGCTTTTCTATTGTGAAGTAATATTAGAGAATCTTTTTAAGATAATAAGGACTTAAAGTATAGATGTTACAAGGGTAGATTGTCAAAAGACGGAGTTCTTCGTAATTCTGATGCTGCTTGCAGAGAAAAATGAGCTGCTGTTATATAGCCGTCTATTTGCAATTGTGCTCCTATCTGCTTTCTTCTTTTCATCCAAAGTCATCTTTGCCCAGAATGATTCCTCAAATTTGCTCTCCTTCCAATTCTTAAACCGGTTAAGTAGATTTTTCACTAGTTCACGGCTCTTGAACGCGCGCGAGCTCAAGATGTCTATGTAGCAACTATTTGCCCTGTGTTTGTTTTGGTATCCAAACTTAAATTTTCAGTGTTATCAAGGCAATTTTTGACGTCCAAATCTAAACTTTTACGATTTGAAATGGTCATTCTATCCAAATGTAATATAACAAGTTGTAAGATGCTTTGCACAAAAAAGCGCAGTTCTTGCTTTTTGATGCTGAATACCTGTTTCAATTTCAATCTTTTTATCAATTTTCTCGTGTCACGTGTTTTATGAATATAAACTTCTCTCTACCTCACTCTGATATTTCCTGGAAATTGTTCTGGCGATGGTCCATGCCACACAACTCACGTTCTCTCTGGTGGAAAATCCTCTGGCAAAGGGTCCCAGCCACTGAGTTCGTATTCAACCGTACCTCTTCTTTCCTTTCTAGTCCGAACTGTCGCCTCTGTGTCTCTGCGGTGGACCCTCTCCAACATTTCGTCTTCTCCTGCCCTCGCAAGTTTCCCGTGTGGACATTGGTACGGCGGCAAATGTGTCCGTCCTGGTCCATTTCTGACGTTGCCTGGCTTCTCGCTCGTACTCGGCTTTCTCCCTCCGTTTCCTCCTTTCTCCAGATTGAGATTGCCTCCATCACGGTTCACACCATCTGGTATGCGCACTGGGAATTTGTCTTTGACAACTCCCCCTTCCTCCCCAATGTAGTTGCAGCTGAGGCAGTGACTGTCATACATAAATCCCATGACCTCACCTTCCCTTAGCTAGCATATATATCTCTTTCTTTCCTCTCCTGTAACTATCTTTCTCCAATTTTATTTTCAAAGGCCGCGCACTGTGTGCGACGGCAGTACCAATAAATGCAAAAAAAAAAATGAATATAAACTTCACTTTCTAGGTGCTCTTCACGACCCCAACTCTTACCCTTTTACATCCACCAGACCCATTACCAAAACGTACATAAGGACTCTTGATATATATAGTAGTTATGTAACATATAATTTCCAAAATGATAAAAAATCTTGTACGTATCGAAGGTGAAAATACACCTTCGACAGGAAGTAAAATGGGAAATAACGTCCCATATACATCATACTAGACAGCCATAGTTACATAGCTACTTTTCATAAAAACAGCAGTTATGTTAATGTGTTATTTTATATCTTTACTTCTATTTCATTGCCTTTTAAATGAATCTGTTTGCTCTTCTGAGTCATTTGTCGATTAGAAGAATCTAAGGGCAAGCATTATACGATGCTTGTAAGATTTCTTCGACTCCTCCTTCTCCAAGAACAATGTCAATAAGGTAGTTGTAGTTCATTGTTGCTTTGCTTTAATAAAAATATTGCAAAATAAAGAACACAAGAAATAGTACAAAAAAATGCACACATTATGATGGCATTTTAGAGATCAAGTACTCCAGAAATATCTTGAGTAAAATATAGCTCCAAAATTGTTTTGGGAATGGGTCTGGTAGAACATGAAAGGGTAAGGGTTGGGGTCGTGAATAGCACCTAAAATTGTCTTTTCTACCTGCATTTCTTTTCTTGTCAATGCGTTTCACATTTACACTACATAGTAAACCCCCTATTTTTCAGAGGCCGTACATCTCGTTCCTTTTTCTTCTTTTTTTTTGTGAAATATAAATAAAAAATGAGAATATTACCGGATATCTAGACTGGAAATGGGTATTGACTGATGGTTTCTTCAGAATATAAGAAAGGAGAGAATAGAATGTGGTTATAGCATTGGTAGTAAAAAGAAGACGTTTGGTCGAGTATGAAAATATGATGGTGTCGAATTAAGCTAGAGAATTATAATAACAAATTCAAAGACAAAAGCGAATTATATCGTAATCCTAAGGGGATATTAGAAGATAAACTTGTACAGACTATAAAAGTTTACTGACATGTATTATTTGTATAATGCTATCCAAAAAGAAACCCTTTAATATTTTATATGCCTATTTATATTATTTATTTTTGATAGTAAATGTGATGGTAATGATGATGATGATGCTACCCAGTGTATTTTATTGGGTAGAAAGAAGAATAAAAAAGAAATGCCCCCATTTTTATAGGATCTCTTTTGTAGGTTGTAGCAATATCAGTCACAGACTTAATGTTTGTAAGGAAACTTTGACAAAAGAATGTCTTTTTAAGGTAAGAAATAGATATCACCTTTATTGATATGATATCTGATATGTACTTGTATGCGTTCCTCTGCTGGACAGTAATAAAGCATGGATTAGACTGACTGGAAGCATGATGAAGAATACGTGTGGTCAGTTTCTGTTTAAGCCAATAGATAGATAAATATATATGATCTTTGGGTGTATTTACTAAGAAATGAGATGAGTTGAATAGATTGATTTACTCTATTTTCTATGTTATATAAATACATGACCCAATGTCTTTATCTATTTTGGAATCATTTGATTTTCAGCTCAATGAAATACCAAGTCGTAGGTGCGAAGATGGCATTAAACACCCTTTTCTTTTGTATATGGTTCATAGCATTAGAATTTTCTCTGGATAAAACAAGGTGTTAAATACACATATGCCTTTACTTTCTTTTTCATATATGTGTGTGTGTGTATTCAAATAGATCTACACTTGTACAAAAGAAGAACACTGTTACAAGATACATTTTCCGTTTTTGATCTTTATATTGAAAGATACGTCTTGTCAGTTTCTGCATAACATATTTCAGAATAATCAATCAAATAGGTCTAATCTCTGTATTAGCATATAAAGATAACATATCGTTTATTCACTACAGTATTTGATTATAGCTTTTATCCAATTGAGCCGTTTTTTGTTACTTAAAAAGTGCTATGAATTAAGTTATCAATAAGATACTAGGCAGACTATTCGGATTTGCACCAAATGCCTTGTTCTCAAAAACAAATTAAACTGGTACAAAGAAAAACAAATTTAGAACAATTGTCTATCGATATACAATATGAACGCAAAAGTAATGTGAATTTATTTATTTTTTATTCTACCAGTACTTCTTGTAATACTCCTTTCTCTCTCTCTCTCTCTCTCTTTCTTTCTTAAATCATATAAGCACATCACTTTCAAACTTTAATAAAAAAGAAAAAGATGGCTCAGCGTAGGTTTTCCAGATTTTTAGCCATTTTTGTTTAAAATAGTATATAACCTTGCTGAAATTCACAGATGTCAGAATGTCAATGAAACAACAGCTTGTAGTAAGATAATAAAATACTTTGACACTGGCTTACTAAGAATACAAGTACTGGGACTAATAGAGAACATATCAGCCCTGTT